AATGACATCTGTAATCTCACAAAAACCATACCAGAAAGATTCATACAATAAAATGCAATGGTTCTTCTTGTAGCAAGCACCTAACAACAAAGGAGGAACTTTTCAGAACAAATGCGAAATGAGAAAAAAACCTAAATTGACAAATATCTTCAAAATAGAGAACTTTCCGAAAATTTTCTCCTGAGCATTTTTTGCTCCAAACGAAGAGTAGAATCGATTCCCTGAGTTTCGTCAGAAGGAACTGGGACACCCTATAAACACTTGTACACTCATTTATTTATATTTTATTACCTATACTATAAATACTATACTTCATATAAAACTCCATATTAATTAATCAGTTGGTTTATTTAATTGTATTAATGTTCAAAGAGCATGTTGTATGCTTTTCAAACTTTTTCTTTGTTGTCTTTCATCCTCTCTTACTCTCGATTAAAATGAAATAAGATTGTTTAATTAATATTGAAAGCTCTACTACCAGTTACCTTGTTTTAAAAGTAGCTATTTGAAGTTGTGTAATTGAGATTATAAGAAACAAGGCGTGTAAAAATTGTTCACTGTTTAAACTTATTTGTTAATTAATATATTATTTATGAATATGTTCACATCATTTGGTGAGAGTGTTAAACTTGTAACTTACACATATGTAGCATTTTTAAAATGTTAGACATGTTATTATTTGAAATGTGTGTATTATGGGGTGATTCGAGACGGCTAAGGCATGGGACGTCCCAACCTCCAGACTTAACCAACGCGATCCAGCCCTTTGACTCTAAAACTGCAATAAAAACATGATTGAAATAAAGTGGCAGAGTCAATGGGCCAGATCTGCAAAGAAGTTTTGATAATCAAGGGCTCTGTCAATTGGACGATCTAACTTGTAGAAAGGGTCATCCTCACCTGATTAAAAATAGGCCATGCAAGGTTGACACTCGGACACTTTTGTGTCCAAGTCCGCATATGTGTCCAGCATGTAGAGAAGTTGCCCGATATGTCCTACCTAATTGAATGTTGCAATTACTGCCTACATATAGAGAGCACGTAGGAATGCCACCTGATAGGAGAACTGTGCTTGAACATGGCAGCGAGTATCTAGGTCCCCTGTTCCAATTTGTGGAGAAAATAGGCTTGTTTTATTGTACATTGTTACTGCCATCATTGGAGCAGCATCTGGTTGTCGGTAGAGGTTAGGTCAGCAGGTTAGAAGACCGACCAGCAGTACAAATTATGAGGAGAAATGGGCAGTTGACAGTGGATTCTTGAGTTAGAACCTACGACCATTATATGTACTGCTCTATTTCAAACTGGAATGACGAATTAAAACTTCAGGGGCTGTTCATTTATTAAAATCTTTAACAGTGTATTACTTTGTAGAATCTTGTCTTAGTTTTCTTTGTGTATATTGAGAGTACATTATCAGTGTCAATTTGAATGGTTTTTTGCAGAGAGCTTTCTTCCTGATCCTGATCACTCGATTTGAAAATTTGAGTCCCCTATTCTGATTCTTGGAAGAAATAGGGCTGTTTCAGTACTGTTTGTAATAGTACTAATAGTTTTGTCCACTAATGGGTGTTGAGAGTGAATGTATTTCTTGGCATAAATGAGAGATGGCCAATGGTGGAATACTGAGTACCCTAGCGGTTAGTTATATTATAGATGTAAAGGGTGATGGAGGTTTTGGTCTTCCTATACTTGCTGCTTTGGTATGTCTGATGTGTTTCAGCTTCTTGCCATCTCTAGACTGACCACTGAAGATGGATAGGAGTAGAAACCTTACAGAATCCAAGAGGAAATATTATAAATGGAAATATTATATATTGTTATTTGATCGCTTTTATCATTTTGGTATGACTACTTCTTTCCAGTTTTGAATTTCAATGTTAAACTTCATTGGCCAGCGCCACACTAGAAGGAATGCGACGACAATTTCCGCTGCACAAGCTTTTATTCAAAACACACAGCCAGCGACAGACTGGAAGGAAATTTCTGTCGAGCTCCGTTGGTGCACCACGTGTCCGTCAACAGGATTTTCTGCTGGGTTCCATCTAAGCAGGTCAAAACAGTACAGAGTAGAGGGGTGCGGCACACTGGGAAGAGGCAGGCAATCAAACAGCAAAAAGCTGATCTAGGATGGACATAGACCATTTTATTGTGGAAGTTCAGAAAAGGCCCTATCTGTGGAAATTTAAAGACAGAATGTACAGTAACAGGGATGCCAAGAGAAAAGCTTAGGGGAAGACATTGCTGGCATTTTTAATGAAGAATGGGCTGAGTTTTCCACAACAAAACAAAAGGAAACTGGTAAGTTTACTATTAATTCTATTTCACTACATTAATTCGATCGTTTATATATTTGTATGTACTTGTTGATTTTTTCTTTTACTATTTATTATTTTGTAGTATTATTGCTTTAAAAAAAGTGATTCAAATGAGTATAAATTTAATGCATACAGAAGAGGAGTTTTTATTTATTCTTTTTAATTTTATTTTTTATTTTGAAAAAAAAATTTAGTTTGAAAATGCATAGATTATTGTGGAAACTGCATTAACATAATAGAAAATATCCATATAATTTATTAGTCGTAACGAATGCTTAAATACAACTATCTTGCCATGGAAGTGTCCCTTCTTGTATGAAGTATTTCAAGAAAACATCCCTTGTGCTTTCTGGACTTATTGTCCTTGTATTTCCTGTTGATGGTAGAGTGTTCAACGACATACTGATAATTCATCTTCAAAATTATACCCATCATGCCTTCATACAAAATTGTGCAGAACGCAGGTCGCTTTTACAATAATCTTAACAAAATCTGGTTCAGTAAGAATACTCCTGTGTAAAATCCTCCATTTATTGGAAGCATTCCAAAAGCACATTTGACACACCTGCGGGCCCTGCTGAGACGGTAATTAAAAATGCGTTTCTCTTTGTTCAAATTTCTATTACCAAAAGGTCTCATCAAATGTTTGTGTAAAAGGAAAGGAAATCTTCGACTATGATGAATGGTTGAGACAGTCCATTGGAGTTAGGGAGATTTGCATTATTAGTTCAATTGACCACGAAAAAACTTTTTCCCCAAATTCGAATTGGTGAAGATACTGCTGTCACCTTCCTTGCCACAAGCACCCATATCAGTAGCAATAAAACAACAGAATCTGCAAGTGCCATGAGCCCAAGTGAAAAATACTTTTTGTAGTTGAAGTACAGTGAACCACTATGAGGGTGATTAGTCATGCAAATATGTTTGCCGTCAATTACTCCAATGCAATTTGGGAAATGGGTTTTCGCATAAAACTGTTCATCTATTGTCAGCTACATATCTTGAGAAAGCTCTGGCATTTCCTTAGTAATAATATAGTAACGTTTGCCACAAATAAATGCATGTTCCCTTCTCAATTTATGCAATCATTTACCGACCCAATAGAAAGTTGTGAGCTAGCGTGTTGAATTCATTCCGGTTGATGAAATACCTGAAAAAAATATTTTGAACTCGATATGACATTTGGCAGTAAGCATGATATGCATTTATTATCAGTAACATACTTTTAATATCCCTAATTGAGAAATGCTGTACACAATTTGTGTTGTTAGAATTACTTTATCTTTCAATGTGTCAAAGCTTTATCTCATACTTGTAGCTGTAAAACACAATACCTACTTGAATTTCATGTCAAATTTGTTTTCTATTGCACATTTAATATTACTAGGTATTATATAATACTATAACCTACAGTTTTTTCTTTTTGTTTGCAGTTAATGATGTGCAAAAATGGTGGAAGAATCTAAGAGACTATTTTGTCAAAGAAAAGAAGAAAGCAAACCAAAAAAAGTGGATTGCCAGCAAGAAGAGAGAGAGAAAAAATAGGAGGATTCCTCCATACTCTGAAGCACTGAAATTTTTATATATAGTGCAAAACGAAATTATTTCAGACAGTAGTATCGACGAGCCAATTGACAAACTCGTTGACATCTCAAACTTTATCACACCATCTTGCGATACCACAACAACCCTCAACATCTCAGCAGTATTCTTCGCCACGACCTTTGTCGTAAAGCAAAGTTCAAAAACAAAAAATTACTTTGTTTGAAGAACATTTGGTGAAGTTGATGGAGAAAGATCAAGAACGGAGCATGCAGAAAGATGATGCAAGTAAAAATTTCCTGCTCTCGCCCCTTCCAGAAATGGAAACTATGACACCCTCTGAACAGTTCGATTTCAAACTGCAAGTAATGAATATCATTAAAAACATCAATTATCATTCATCAGAGCTACAACAACCTGCTCCAATAAATCCTCAGTGACTTCAACATTTTGCCCCCCCCCCCTACAACACCGTCTTCCTCTGGCAATATTCATAATACTTCACCTTCTGTTTTGTCCCACATGGAGTATGAAGAACGATTTTTCACAGAAATGTAGCATATTGTACAATAATGGATTGGAATAATAGGATTGTTTGGTTTTTGAAACCTAATGAAGTTATCCAAACATTCGTTGTAGTCATTCCGTTCATTTCCACCATGTGGCCTGTTCAGGTTGGGTGGATTTTTCATCGAGAAATTCCCGTCGCATTCCGTCTAGTGTGGCGCCAGCCTAAAGGTTGGTTACCTTTCAAACCGCAATACAATATTTTCCAAGTTACATATGTTCAAAACCTCTCCTCTACACTTTCTCTCTCTCAACAAAATCAGTTTCCCTGTGGTATGCAACTTTTAAACACCTTACTTCTTTCTTCATTCTCAGTTTATTAATTCTCACTTACAGTAAAAGTAAACATTATAAATGCTAAGATTTATTTTCACAAAACACTGATAGGCTATTCGAACTGTTTTTTCCTCTAAATATTGCAATTGTGTAAAATTATTTTTTGTAACACAATATACATAAATGATGTAATGTTAAAAGCGGTTAAATGTAATAATAGTGTCTTTATTATTGTATAACATTAGATTGCTTTATTATAAATTTGTACGGAGTAAAGAACCTTAACATTGCCTGCAGATTTTGATCATTTAAATCTTATTCTTAAAATGTGTGGTACCCCGTCTGTGGAAATCATGAACAAGATTTCTTTTCTAGAGGTACTCTATCTTAATGTGCATTAGAATAATAATTATATAATTTTCAAAAATGCCCATCAAAATTCAATTACAATGGCATACGTAGATAATTTATATTTAAAAAATAGTATCGGTAGCAATAACTACATAACGGCTACTGTGTCCTTTGTTTCAAGGTAAAGTAAGACTGACATGATAAAATGTTGTAATATTAAATTAACATTTATTTGCATTTTCGTTCCTCCATTATGGTTTATTATTATTAACCTTTTCAGGGCTGATTTTTAGGATGCTTGACGCATTTCCCTGCCTGTATTCTCAGCTGCTATGTAACACGCCCGAAGCCCGATTCACTTTTACTCCTCTTGAGGTGCACCAATTCCGTTCAAAATTTGGCTTTATATTATTCAGGATATTATAGTTTTCAACAGAATTAAGTAAATGGAGGGGGGGAAAACAAAGTATTTAATTGAAAATTTATTATTCACAAAAAGTGTTCATTATGTATTTTAAAACATAACGAAAAAACAAAATAAATACAACAAAATATTACAATTCCACGTTAGTGGTTCTGGGTATGAATCCTAGCATAGCTGATGGCTTTTTAATTGATAATGGTATGAAAAAGACATTGTAAGACATTAAACCCTGTTGTATGACAAGAATTACATTACTTTTTATTATACTTACTAAAATTACTATTTAAATTACTTTATATTTTATAACAAAATACATATAAATAAGGACAATAAAAACATTCTGAAAATTGTTGTGCACTTAAATAACATAAAACTAAGACTGAGGGCACTTGGCAGACAAAAGGCGAAAAAGCAGAAAGACAATAGTGTAGATGGTAGGGAAAGGTAAAAAGAGGGGTTGGTTGATGATGACGATTGGAAAGGAAGGGCAAGAGAGGTGTCTGCTACACATCTCAGCCCAATAGATGCCGTGAATGTCCTGCCAAAGATCTTAAAATAAAAAAGAAACAAGATCAAGACAACTCGTCACCAAGTCCTGAAAAGGTTAATGATAGAGCTAATTGTATAATGTTGATTTATTATTCCTTGTTTACTTGCTCAGTAGATTTAAAGTGGTTTCTGGTCATTTAGTATAAGTTTTAATATTTATTTTGTACAATGCTGGAATGTATTAATCTATTATTGCAAATTGAAACAATGGAGTAAAACTTGCTGAAAAGAGGCATTTACTCTGCTTTAATACACTTAATTAAACTTTATTTAATTAGCAAAAAGGAGGGAAAATTCAAAAGGTGGGGTTGAGATGGGAAGTTAGTGCCTGAGGGGAAAGAAGTCACGATAGCTCAAGTGGTAGAGCAGCGGCGTATCAAGCCGAAGGTCGTGGGTTCGAATCCCGCTCGTGACGCTGACTTTTTTATCTCAACTTAAAATCTTAATTGAACTTTATTTGATATTGGTTATTAGGTTTATTGTCATTATTGGTGTAGTTTTCTTGTTTTTTGACCTACAGGGGAGAAATTACATACAGTGTTTACCTGTGATGAAAAAGAAAGATTTTCAAGATGTCTTTAAAGGTGCCAATCCTTTGGGTAAGTTTAAATCTTGTTACAATAAAAAAAAATCTTATTTGAATTTACTCATGAACATTTATTTTAGCAATAGACCTTCTTGAAAAAATGCTGGAACTTGACCCAGAAAAGAGGATAAAGGCAGAACAAGCGCTCGCTCATCCGTACTTGAAGCATTATGCAGATCCTACAGATGAGCCCACTTCTCCTCCGTATGATGAAAGCTTTGAAGATATGGATCTTCCAGTTGAAAACTGGAAAGGTAATTTTTTAAGTCTTAACATTCTTTGTTTTGAATTTAAGCATAGTTAGATGGGAATAATGCCTAATTTTAATGCTGATTAAAAACCCAATGAATACATGGTACACATTGAAGTCATTCAGTGAGTACTGTAAAAGTTTAGTGGTAAATTTTCTTTTATTAACTAAATAAGGTGGAAACATATTCATTACACATACAATTTAATATACTTTTTGGAATGATATACAGCTATCTCTTAACATTTGCGAGGGTTATGTCCCAGAAAAATTACATGATGTTGATAAATAGGGAGGGGCATAATAAGCAATAAGCATAATAATCCATGGTAGTTGATAATGACACAAAAAAATATGTGATTTGTTTTAAGTTTTAATAATTACAGTGCTCCAAACTAATTGGTGCAGAGGAGTATTTGGAATACTGAGGCTGTTAAAAAAAAATACATACTTATGTACAAATAAACAATTCCAACAAAATATTATTTTATTGGATAAACAAAACTGTCGATTTTTCTTTTAAAAATCTGTTTTTTAATTTATTTAACATTTTCTTCATTGCTTTTTCCTATTTTTCTCTCATTTTGGAGCAGTAGGTATATTACAGTTAACACAAGAAAAATGTAGACTGATCTGACATTTCATTTTTTAGTACTGAAGGGAGGTGAGGGATTCACAGAACAAAAGAAATTCTTGAAAAATCAAACGGTATAGAGTAGCTGGTCTTGGCCTTTCATATGACTCCCTCTCACTCTCTCCCTCTCTATCTCTCTGTCTGTCTCTGTCACTCTCTCTCACCCCCNTCTATCTCTCTCTCTCTCTCTCTCCCTCCTTCCTTTTCTCCCTCCTTCCTTTTCTCCCTCCCACTCCCTCCATCTCTCTCCCTCCCTCCCTCTCTCTCTCACATTCTCTCCCTCCCTCCCCCCTCTCCCTCCCCTCCCTCCATCCCTATCTCTTTCTCTCTCACATTCTGGGTAAAATTAATTAGTAATTTTGGGTAAAAATTTTTGATTGAGTTATGTTCAATGAGATATTTTCATTTGAAACAAATTATACATAAGAGAAATATGTAAATTTTAGGTTTATTAAGTGATGTGACTCTACAATTCACTTGTGACTATTCTACAAATATTTTTTTTTCAGAACTGATCTATGAAGAAGTAATCAACTTTAGGCCACAATGTTTTCCTACACCTTCCAGTTAAAACAAACCGGTTAAAATAATAAATGTATAACACTTTTTAACTTGTTTCATTGTAACAAGAAAAACATTGAAACTGAAAAAAAAACTAAGAATAATTGTTTCAATTGTCACTCTCTTGTCTATTTTATTTTAAATTGGGGGGGGGGGATCTTCATGGTGTCTGTAATTTTAATTTATAAAAATGTAAAAATCTACTTAATAAAAATTAAATTAAATTAATAAATAACTCTTAATAATGTAAAACTTACTAATTTATAATACAGCCTAGGTATGTACATAGTTCCTTCTAGGATGATTTATGTTATGATTTATCACCCAAGTAGACCGTGCTTACGCCTTCATAGTTGCATTGTAAAAATCTGTTTGTGATATTTAAATGCCTCTGCCTAGTCTTTCGACAATTTTCTAATTAACTATATTGTACATTTAATTATGTTATTAAAAAAAGTATTAACTAACTATAATTGTAACAAGTTTTATATAATTATTAGCGGTGCTAAAAAAAAAGCTAAATTAGGTAGATTTTTTAAAATTAGATGTAGATATTATTAAAGCTCATTTTATGATTTAAACAAATGACATTACATTTTATATCACAAAAATTAGATTTTTTACAATTTCATAGGAATATTTTTGTAATAACACCAAAAATCAATAACATATATATATTTAAAGAAAAACTAGTTGTCAAATATAAATTAGCCGTCGAAATAAATGTAATAAAAGGATATTTTTCCAAAATTAAAATAAATTAAGCGCAATGTAAATTATTAAAAAGATAAGATTTATCGTGCCTGCTTAAGAGATTAAAATGCCTTTCAATATTTCAAATGCCATTCTGAGTATATTTACTGGTGATTATAGCATTTAATTAAATGTAATTAGAAAAGTTATTTAAGGAAATTTTACAGCTCCATTATAAAACGTTCATTTTTGACAATCAACTGTCCAAAATCCATAAGATGACAATTAGGGCATGGTTAGAATTAGTCTACAGCAATTGTTATAATTTAAGTATCTCCCATTGCTTCCTTTATGTTGAAACTTATATAGTGATTAATAAAACAGCAAGATTTAATATACAGATAGTTTATCAAATATTGCTAGCGTGCCTTATTAATTGAATTAAGATTCGTATTGCTTGTAAATGCATATTGAGTGGATATGGCTTTATGTGTAAAAAATTCTTTGTGAAAAAAGTTTGTGATGTCATTAATTGGTAAATTACAAAAACAAATGTTTCATCTGAGTGGCTTTAATTTTTATATTATATTGGTCTCCGTTTCATGAGACGACCTGTATTTTTTGTGTTTTAATTAATTTTGTTATTACCAGTTAAAAATTCTCTATACATTTATTGGATTTTATACAAATCTTTTTTAAATTTACATTGTTACCTGAATTATACGAAATTAACTTAGTTTATGTTAAAGCAAATATGTAATAACTAAGTTATACTTATTTTAATAATAAAATTGTTTTAGCTTATGTTTAGCTCATATTTAAAGTGTAAAGCACCAGCAGTCCCAAGCGAACGGTCACCCTCATGCCACGACAGTCCTTGGGTCCGCATTCTAACCACAGTGCTGCTTTTCCAATGCATTCAACACACATTTCAGATTGCTCTGGCATGGGACAAAACCCTGAACCTTACCTGATGAGATTTAAAAAAGTCAGTGTTTTAACCGTTTCATCTACTGGTTGAAGTGTGAGTTGCAAATAGGCGTATTGATGTATTTGTCTATTTCAACTAGATCTCAGATACCTATCTCTTCAGAAATTGTACCCAATGTGTAAAAAAAACTTTTTGAAATTGGCGAAATTTCTAAAATACCATAAACTGGGAAAAGTAAGTGTTTAAACCGGTTTTACCTTACATACATACGAACTATGGTTAGTTGTTATATGTTTTTAAAATGATAGGAGATTTTAAAGTCATAGCAGTGGCATAATATTTCATACCCTAATAGCTCACCAGTTTTATTACTACTGTTTAAAAAGGTTTGGGTTTGTATGAAAGTTCTTTTTAAGCATGAGGGTTTGTATATGTTTGAGAGGGATTGTGGTGGAATGTAGGGTACAGTACAAACCCTTGAAAATAGGTTAGTTGTTACATTAATTTAAAGTGATAGGGGATGATTTAGTGGTATAATGTTAAATACCCTTATGGCTCACTAGATTACTTTTAATTAATACAGTTTGATTAAGATGGTTTTGTATGAATGATTTTATAATGACGGTTTTTCTGTATGTGTGAGAGAGATGGTTAGTTGTTACATGTCTGTAAAGCAAAGGGGGTATGTGACGATGGAATAATATCAAATACCTTATTGCTCACTAGTTTTATTATAACTAATATGTTTTGAATAAGTTTGGTTTTGTACGAGTGTTTTTATATGTATGAAGGTTTGTGTATATGTGGGAGTGATTGTGGTTGAATACGGCCACATGATAGCCATGAAAATTCGTCATTTATTGTTGAGAGTGTTTTTATATGTATGAAGGTTTGTGTATATGTGGGAGTGATTGTGGTTGAATACGGCCACATGATAGCCATGAAAATTCGTCATTTATTGTTGAGAGTGTTTTTATATGTATGAAGGTTTGTGTATATGTGGGAGTGATTGTGGTTGAATACAGCCACATGATAGCCACGAAAATTCGTCATTTATTACTTGTATTTAAAGTGAAGGGGTATGTGACACTGGAATAAAATCAAATCCCTTAATTGCTCACCACTTTTGTTTTAAGTAATGTGGTTTGAATAAGATTGAATTTGTACACCTTTTTTATTAGTATGAAGATTTGTGTATGTACCGTAGTGTTTGTGGTGTAATATAGAGTATACTATGTACCCATGAAAATAGGTTAGTTGTTATTGTTTTTAAAGAGATAATGGACGAAGTAGTGGCATAATATGAAAAACCACGTTTGTTTTAAGTAATGTTGTTTGAATAAGATTGAATTTGTATGACTGTTTTTATTAGTATGAAGATTTGTGTATGTGTCTGAAAGTTTGCGGTGGAATATAGAGCCCAGTGGTAGCCAAAAAAATAGGTTAGTTTTTACATGTTTTTAAAGTGATTGTGGATGAAGTGTTTGTCGTGTAATATATATTATTATACTACATGCCCACAAAAATAGGTTAGTGGTTACATGTTTTTAAAATGTGGGGGTATGTGATACTGGAATGAAATCTAATCCCCTGATTGCTTATCACTTGTATTTTAAGTAATGTTGTTTGAATAAAATTGAATTTATATGGCTGTTTTTATTAGTATGAATGTTTGTGGTGTTACACAGTATACTACATAGCTATGGAAATAGGTTAGTTGTTACATGTTTTCAAAGTGATGGGGCAAGTGAGACTGGAATGATATCAAATCCCCCCATTGGTCACCACTTTTGTTTTAAGTAATGTGGTTTGAATAAGATTGAATTTGTAAGACTGTTTGTACTGGTATGAAGATTTGTGTATGTGTCTGAGAGTTTGTGGTGGAACTCGTAGCCCAGAAAATAGGTTAGTGGTTACATGTTTTCAAAGTGGGACTCCATGTGGGAGTGATTGTGGTTGAATACGGCCACATGATAGCCATGAAAATTCGTCATTTATTGTTGAACAAGATTGAATTTTTATGGCCGTTTTTATTAGTATGAATGTTTGTGTGTATCAGAGTGTTGTGGTGTTTTACACAGTATACTACATACCTATGGAAATAGGTTAGTTTTTACATGTTTTTAAAGTGATTGTGGATGAAGTGTTTGTGGTGTAATATATATTATTATACTACATGCCCACAAAAATAGGTTAGTGGTTACATGTTTTTAAAATGAGGGGGTATGCGATACTGGTGTAACATCAAATCCGCTGATTGCTCCCCAGTTTTATTTTAACTAATACTTTTTGAATAAGTTTGGTTTTTATGAGTGTTTTTTATAAGCTTGAAGTTTTGTGTAACCGTACCTCGCCAATTAAAAAACAAAAACGATACAACGCTGCTCTAACCGCTTAAACTATCATAACTTCGATCCACTCGGACACTCACTCTTTTTTTTTAAATCTCAATTAAGACCTTAGATAAAAATAATGATTAATTGAAATAATGAATATTACCAATTATAACTAAACATATATGGATTATTTAAAATATTTAATTTAATATTATTTGAAAATAAAGGATGAAAAGTATAACATACAAAGTTACAAAAATTGGTATTTTTTTGGGTTTCATTTTCATGTAAGTGTTTTTAACAGAATGACAAAAGTTTATAGGATCTGTCACAATGACAAACATGTAGAAAATCGCTGAGACTTTGATGTTTTTGACTTTTTTATATTCCTTGCGTTAATATGAAAATAATAAAGAATCAAAATTATCAATAAAATCGGTGTGTTTTTGCTTCTTATTTTCATGTTAAAGTTTTTCATGGAATAAAAGATTTGACTTCGCTCAATGAAAAATATCTAGAAAATTATTTATGGTTTTGGGTTTTTTTTATGCCTTGTGTTAATAGGAAATTGTAGAGAAGAAAAAATATCAACAAAATTGGTAGTTTTTGGCTCTTATTTCACATAAGCGTTTTTAACAGAATGACAAGTGTTTATAGAATTCACTAATTTCGTGGTCCGCTTGACCCGCTTGATTCGAATCCTCAAAAAAATGGCAAAAAGGAGGGAAAACTCATAAGGTGGGGTTGAGATAGGAAGTTGATTTCCGAGTGGATCGAGGTCACGATAGCTCAAGTGGTAGAGCAGCGGCGTATCTAGCCGAAGATCGTGGGTTCGAATTCCGCTCGTGCCATTAACTTTTTTTCATCTCAACTAAAAACCTTAATTAATTGTAATGTTTACAGAATGTCTCACAATAAAAATGACAAGAAAAAAATTTCTCGAAGTTTTAGTTTTTGTCCTTTTTATTTATTCATGTTTAATTAAATGAAAAAAATTCCAAAGTTTGAACTTACCTCACTCAATATTACTTAAAAAAAAATTAAAAAATATATTATTTTAAAATAAATGTACACTTTTTTAACAGAATGACAAGAGTATAAATTAAAAGTTATCAGAAAAAATCTCAAATTTTATAGTTGCCTTTTTATTTGTGTATTTTTAGTTCAATGGAAAAAGATGAAAACTGCAAATTGTGAGCGACCTACGGTATATTTTTCATCGTGAGAAAATGCGAGTCTTCTTTTTCACTCATGATTTCTTTGGTTCTTAATCACAGAATAAACCGTCATAGTTAATGATCAATGCATTAATACATTGATTATATTAATTACTAATAACAAATTTATTCTTGGATTGAGTGGCAAAGTGAAATTTGCATCTCAAACCTCCATTGTAAAAAATATGTAAAGAGATCCTGTATTGTTAAAAAGCTCAATAAAATTTAATTTCAACTTGTAATATGAGCAACACTAACAGTAGTAGATGTCCAAAACCTGGTGGAATAGTACCACAGGTATGAGGCACGCGAAGAGATTCATAGGAGGACCATCCTCAAAACATACAAAAGAACCACAACCGAACCAGGATTCCGTTTGTACTCTTGACAGGGCACTGCCATTTAAGGGCACCGGATAGAGGTACAGACTAGAGGAGGAGACTGCAGAACACGTTTTATGTTTCTATGAGGATCTATGTAGGTGCAGGTTTTTGCAACTAGGACAAGAAAAACCACAATGAAAATCCTACACCAAGGAGCCGCTGGCAAAGTTGTGGAGGCTGGTTAATAATCTGAAGCTGGCCAGCGAGTTATAAATAACAGGGGAGCACAGTAGATCTATTCAGGTCGAGGTGCAGTAGGCCTTGTTGCTGCCTCTTTTATCCCTACCCTTAACAGTAGTAGGTATAACCAGACAAAAAAATGTATATAGAAAATGTGCATAAAAAAATTTATTAGTTGAACAATTAACTTAAACTGTAATTTAAAAAGAAAAGTTCAAACAAACAATTATTGAATAAGCTAGTGGGATTGATAAGTGCAAATTAACAATGCAAATGATCCAATAAAGAAATTAGATGAGGTAATTTAAAAGTAATTATTGTTAAGTCACTCTTCACTTAACTCTTCAGTTAATAATATGAATAACATTCACATAGCAATTTACAGTATTTTACAGTTAATTACTACTGTTGTAAACTTAAAAAGGAATGTTTAAAGTACATTTTTATGCAGTAAAACATTTACTCTGTCCTATAATTTTAAAAATTGTTCCAAAGAAACTAAAGTATGTATTTCCACCTAATTTGATTGAAAATGAATTTGTATTAAAAAAAAAAAAATACTAACAATATAAACCTGAATGTTGTTAACAGTAAAAAATGAAGTAGCACAAAATTTTGATTAGAAAGAAAAAATGTTAAAAATATTGTAGAAGCATAATGGCCATCACACTGAAATAATGAAAATGATTACAACAACAAATTATACAACAAAACATTCATAATTCGATTATACACCATTTTATGAGGGATTAGATGCAGAATTCAATTTCATGTTTTCCCATTCAATTCAGTCGCTTCTACTGTTTAGGAAATCTTCACTTTTTGATCGTTTAGTACTGTCAGACAGGAGAGAACCAGTAGGCTGTAATTAAAAATGGAAAATAATTAAACACATGGAAAACACATTATTAACAGAGATGTACTTTTCGTTTCAGATAGCCAGACGCATTTCCAAATTCGCTTCCTTCACTTCTGATGCTCTGAAAAAGTAAAATATTCATTGTTTTATACAAGAAAATGCATTTAATTTTTTTTTTTGAACAGGTGAGAGGAGGATGAAATCAAGAAGCCATCCAACCAGCTGGCAGAAGCAGGCCTGCCATTTAATGATTGAATTCCGGATCGTTTGATACTAGCAAGCTTTTGGTGTCCCTTCCAGACAGAATTAATCTTCCCATTTTTCCGTTCTCCTAAATATTTTCAATTTTCCTGTCAGCATTCCATATTTCTTAATCATGGAATCAATTTATTGTGAAACTCCTAATCCCACTTTTTTAAAAGACTTCTATCCAATATCCATTCTCTCTAACCTTGATAAAAACTTCTTTTAAAAATTAGTCCATTTACAAATGTTTACATAGAAAACTCAAATCCCCTTGCTCTCTTTTAATCTAGCTTCTGTCTTGGTTCGTGTTCTAAAAATCTCCACTGACATACAGACTGTTACTGACCAATTTAAAATCATCATTTTTGTCTTTGATTTTCTTTAAGTATTTGATAGTGTGTTCATTCCTTTCTCCGTTACTTCTGAGATCTCTCAAGGTTCAAACATTCCGCTTCTCTTTTATGGTCTACATTAATATTTTCCTAAATCCTTACAAATATTGCTCTCCTATCCTTTACGTAGATGACTCCCAAATTAACCTTACTTTCCCACCTCCTGCAATTGAATTCAGGAAGTCATTGAAAATGGCTTAACTTGAACATAAACAAAAGTCCCAGGTTATTATGTGGATCCAGTTCACTCCTAGTCCTTACCACCTATCATTCCAACTCCAGTTAACTTTCTTCTTCTTTTGTCCCACCGTAAAAACCTTGGGATTGTCCTTGATCAAACCTTGTCCTGGATATCTCAGTTTAGTTGCTGCTGTTTTTACACCCTCCAACAGTTCTGTCCATCCACCTTCTTTTATTTAATATGTGAAAAATTCCTAATTTACTCCCTTATTTGAGTATGCAAAATAAATCTCTGCTGAGTCCCAGGACGTGTAGGAGTAGAGGGAAATTAAGAAGCAGCCCTTGCAAGGAAAGCAGTTGCTACACACTGATAAGTCCTGAGACCTTCTGTGGCATAGGGATTCATACTATCAATGAGTACCTCAATGAGGACAAAAATAAGGAAACAGTGGATTCTACTCTTTGGACACAAACAATTCAAGAACCATCTAGCCATCTTTTGGAAGGAAAGAAGCAACAGAATGCACCAAATTAAGCAGAAAAAATTTCAAATCCTAAGAAGATTCTTAACTGTACACTTCATTATTATTTATATATTTTTTAAGGAGATTTTAAGACCTAGATTAAAGTATACAAAGCATGCTTGATAGATAAAATTTAAAGACGAACCAACTCTGATTTGGATATTATTTCAATTTCAGAATCTTTGCTGCAGTTGCCTGATTCGACATCACTTCTCTTCCCGCCATCCTCTAAATCCTGAAAAGACAATGCAAAATACAAGCTAGTTTTCAGTACTTAAATATTTTATTGAAATATAAACTTACATCTGTTTGAATTGGAAATGCTGGTGTAGGTAGTAGTTTTTTATGCACAGTCTGAATTTTTACAATTATATGTACACATTTTGACGCAATAACTAAACAATTTAAAAATTTACCTCTAAACATGCCAAACCTTGCTTTTGTAGATGTGGTGAATTTATATTGTCCCAAGTGTCGGCTGACACCCGACTATTCTGTAATATAACAACAAAATCACCTGAGTTATTTTATTAGTGTAAGTTTAAAATTGATTGACATTGCTATACGCTGAAAAAACTCATAGGCATCAATTATAAAAAAAAAAAAATACTTTCATGTTTTGTATAAAACAAGTTATTTTTTTTACAAATTCAATTACACGATTATACTGTGATTAGAGGGAATAAAAACTAGGTACCCATTCTGTTTCATAGAGCACTTCAACGTCAGAATCATCACTTAAACTTCCTTTGTAGTAATAATGTTTAAATTCGTTTTTCTCTAATTTCTGAAAAATTTGTCAGTTGTCAAAAAATTTACAATTAGTTCATACAAAAGACTTCACCTCACATGGCTGAGTTATTTCTGAGATTGAACTGTTGTAACGTTGCACCTACAACAAATCTGATTGTAGCTTATGTAGCTTAGTCGTTCCCGATCATTTTGATCTGCCTATTGTTATTCTGGTCAGGCGGTAAGTGATTTTGGATTGGAAACGACCAAGCTTTAGGATCCCAAGAAACCTCACTATTTTTATTATATTCTGCTTTAAAATTTATTGTATATTTGTCATAAAATTTTTTTAAAAAAATATAGTTTACCTCGTTGTAGTCTAATAATTTATTTATTACCCACCTGCAAAGTGATTGCGTCATGAATTTTTTCAGTTGCTGTTTGTGCTTCCACTCTGGTGTCAGCTAAACACTAAAAAAATATACCATATTAAGAGAAATATGATTTTATAGAATATAGATCCACATTTTATTCGTGGGATATGACTCGTTGACATTGGCAATCGGGGTTAGACATCAGATTGTCCGTCCTACCCACTGAAGTTACACATTATCAACATAATCATTTCAACCATAAAGGCATGCGAATTATGTAATAAATATCCATCAGGCATGTAGTTTGTTCTTTCTGATCATCTTTGCCTATTATTACTGCTTCGGTCTGTCAGAAGCAGTTGTGTGACCAAGTCTGGCAGAGCAAACCAGCGAGGAGAGGCAAACCAGGATGACTGGAAACTACCAAACTATGTCAACTCTGATCTCACAAAAACCATGACTCTTATGGCCTGAAGACGGTTGAAACAAGGAACCAAGATAATTTTTCAAAGGCTCACCTTTTCTCCTTTATTGAGGAATTGTCCAGATGTCATTTTGCCACTCGTCCAGGCCTGAGGATTGGCTCGACGAGGTCTCACTGCCTCTGAAAACAGATTCCTGGCTCCTCGCTTGATATTAGTCAATCCAATCATTGAAACTGGAGAGAAATGCGTGTCTTAGTGAACTCCTTCGCGAACAAGTAGAAATAAAACGTGGAGAAATAACGTGAAATGGAGCAAAATGTGGTGCCGCGTATGATATACAGAGAACTGACTGAAATCATAAGCCTAACTTCCTTTGGTAACTTATGGGCAAAAACAACGCCGCAGTAGGTCTAAATATAAAATTGAGATTATAACAAAATTAGAAAGCTTCTGGGTGGAAAAATAAAGAGAAGACTTAAGATATAAACGAAGAGGGATAAGGGTGAGGAAAACATTTTAATTTGGGGTTGAAACTAAAGATCAGTGGAACAAGTGCAAAATGGAATTAAATTTCTTACAGGCCTTGGGATTGTTTTAAAATTTAAAATATCTTTTTGTACATAAACAATATGCTTATAGTTGAGCAAAAAACTAATTAATAAAAAATAACACGGCGCTTATAGTGAGGTATCACATTCACTAATGTTCCTCACAGAATTAATTATTTAGAGGATAACTCAAGTACCTTCATTTTTGTAAACAGTAGGTAGACGAACAAAATAATAAATGAATTAACAAATCAATTAAGTGCTCAAAAACAGTATAGATACAATATTTAACAATCACACATACATACGCATATACTCTGGGTCAAGGTATGGTCTTAAGAAAGAAGCAAATTCAGTTGTTACTGCCAAGTTTTGACCTATTTTAAGGTCATCTGGGAAAAACAATCGTAAATATGTCTACAAAATGACATATTTATTATTGTTTTGCCCTTTTTTCTTTCTTACCTCGATCCAGTGTTTACGAGTGAAAAAGTAGTCAATATTTCTAATATAAAAATGATAAGATCTCTAATTTATTTTTAGATCATTATGTCTTCCTTTTTAAAGGGTCTTTCATTCCTTGGTGATGGTGGATTGTCTGATATGTGCTGGAGAGTTGGGTTAGCATGATCTACTAATGAGGCGTGAAGATGTGTTTAGCTTGCCTTAACGTGATCAACTTCTGGTATTTACATGTCATTATGCAGGGTAGAATTATTGACAAACCACTGGGCACATGTTACTAGCCTTTAAAATCTATTTTGGTTAGTCTGCACTCTTTTTTTTGGGGCTGTTCGTTGCTGAACACCATATTCCATAGCTGTATTAGAGCTAACTACAAGAGCCTCTTAATATGTAGTGGCAATGGTGAAGGCCACTTATGGATTTTAAGCATAAAATTTAGTTCTGGCACATTTAGTTATGTCATTGATATGTATGCGCCAGGTGAGTTTACTGTCAAGAGTAAGGCCTAGATAGCAGACAGGCTCAACATTAGGGACTGTTTTACCGTTTAGGGTTATCGTTTACAGTTGTACATCTTTTACGCGAAGACAACCAAATTCAACTTCTCAGCATTCATGATTATTCTCCACTTTTTACACCATTTGGAAATTTTTACGGTGAAGTTTTGCAAGGGTAAAGCTGGTGTGTTTCTATGTCAAACGCTTAGGACAGCAACATCGTCTGCATTTGGGATGTAACTAAACTATCTGATTTAGAAAGTCCGATGAGTACACAAGATACAATAAGGGGCCTAGGACGCTTCCTTGTGGACTCCTGATTTGATACATGATTTTTTGAGTATGCAGTACGACATTTTACAGTGAATATTCTTCTTTCTAAGTAGGATTTTAAACTCTGAAGTGTATGCCCGGGAGCATTGGCTTCATTTTGTACATAAGACCATCATGCCATACCTTATCAAAGGCCATTTCAGTGTCTAGAAAAAGCCCTCGACAGATTTGTTTATTATCAGAAACGTCAAGAATATTATCAGTGATATGGTGCAGTTGCTGTGGGCAAGAATGCTGACGTCTGAAGCCAAACTGAGTTTCTGGAATATAAGACCCAAGATCTTTCAAAATTTTTAGAGAAAATTGAGAGTAGACTTATTGGCCCTATCCTTATCCCTATTGGTCGGTAGTTCCTAGGATTATGCACTTTAGATATATTTGCAAGTATTCAAACTTTTCAACCTCAGAGATTTATTTTGACAAACAAAGATTTGACTCAGCCACTCTTCATTATTACTTGAAATGGTGGGAATGTTGATTTTGAAGATTATCACAAATTGTAAAATTCTGTGGTGTTTCAGGGACAGGTTCAGTAATTTGGTTAGCAAAATTTAAATAGTCTTACGCATGTTATAAGAAAGATCATCAAAGGAGTTTTAAGCTTGAGAAATTTCACGTTATTATTCCTCATTTGATGAGTTGGCATTAAATTCAATTATTTGATTATTTATTGAGTCAAAATCTTGCTCTAGGACATCAATCTTTTCATAGAAGGTGGTAAACTATTTGTAATTAGAATGATTTATGCTTTTGAAGGTTAGGCAGTAATTTTGAGGGCGGCTGAAAATTGTTTCCCGTTTAGTTTTTATTACTTGAAATTTGACTTTTGAACCCTCCCCCATATCAATTCAAAACTAAAGATGGTTGGGAAAAGGAGGATTAATTTGGAAGGAGAAGAATTTTATGACAAGAGCTCAAATAAATTTCGGAACAGTTATGTATATTATTCGACAGTAGTAACAATAAAACAGAACTAATAAAAATAAATGAGAAATACTTTTTAAAAGGATAGTTCCTACTCATAGTAAGTTGTTTTGCAACGATCCGGATTTTGAGCCTTTTAGCTCATCATCAGGTTGAAGGACTTCTACAACCACGTCTCTCGACATGAATTGCCAAAGTGAAACCGCTGATATTTTTTGAAATATTATTATTTTTAATATATTAATAATTAATTAATATAATAATAAATATATTATTTTTAAAAAGTATTGAACACCACACTCACTCCATCATTTATCATTTCTATAAATGAGAAAACTTCTCGAAAAACTTTATTGAAGAAATGAAAACATAAATGCAATATAATGTTTGAGAGAAAGTTAAATTAAAATTTAAACCTTTTAATTAGTGTTATGGAGAAGATTGACCAGTTTTTTCAATGTTGAAGATGATCAGGTTTATGGTCTTGAATGAAGTTACAAATTTATGCCAACAATTCGCCGAGCTTTCGCGACATATAGTCGCATCATCAGGGACTATATGTCGCGAAAGCTCGGCGAATTGTTGGCATAAATTTGTAACTTCATTCAAGACCATAAACCTGATCCTCTTCAACTTTTGATTAGAGACAAAATCTTTGCATAATGTAAATAATTGAGCGAAAGGCTCCTTTTATCATGTTAATCCTTCTTGCATAAACCGAACGTGTTCTTACTTATCTTCAGCCTTTTGCAGTACCTACGTCAAAATTTGCTTTAATAAATATATAAAAGGATGATTTGCAGGGAATCTGAAATTGAATTTTTAAATAAAAAGGCAAAGTTAGAGAAATTAAGTGGACATAATCGAAATAAACGATATCGTGGCCCGGAGAACCAACGTTACGATCTGAAGATGTTTTCAGCTGTAAAGGTGGTTGAAACGAGGAACCAAGGTAATTTTTTAAAGGCTTACCTTTCTTTTTTATTGAGGAATTGTCCAGACGTCGTTCTGCCACTCGCCCAGGCCTGAGGATTGGCTCGAAGAGGTCTCTCTACTTCTGAAAACAGATTCCTGGTCCTTGTTCGATCTTAATCGATCCAACCATTGAAAATGGAGCGAAGTGAATGTTTTAGTTAACATCGTCGTGACAAGTAGAAATAAAACTTGGAGAAATAACGAGAAATGGAGTAAAACGTTCTGCCATGGATGGAGACAGACTGACTGAAAATCAGCTAACTGGTCATGGTAACTTGCGATAAACAAGGCATCAGTTGGCCTATACAATAGTTTTTAATTTTTTCTGTTTGCCTTTATGCGATAACAAAGTAAGCGTGTTATTTTTTTATTAATTAAGGCTGAGCAATTAGGGTGTCTGATGAAATTCCCACGCTAGCAGTGCTGGGTTTAAATGCCGTCATAGTCCATGTCATTTTAATTATAATTATAAAAGGTATTACAAAGTGGTTTAACCCATGACACCCAATGGTGTGGTCCTCTTGTATCAAAGGAATTACTTAACTTTTTAATCATACCCTTATTGGATAAATATTTTTTCTGAATTATACTTGGATTTTGTTTTAACCAAAGTATGTAAAACAGGTCAAATTTTGCCAGTATTTTAAAATAATTAAATATATTTCAAAAAAGAATTAATTAAGGAATGGCTTACATCTGGATTGATAAATTTTTGTTCATCTGAGACTTTTCCATTTCCACTATAGTCTGCTATATTCTAAAAGACATAATAAATATTGAAAAAGTTAAATTATTGTGTCTTTTAGTAAATGAAGTATTTTTGTAATTAATTCACTACTTTCGTGGTCCGCTTGACCAATTAATACATGACAATTAATTAACGAAGAAGAACATTAAGAATCCAAACCGATTACACGACATTTGAAAAAAATGGCAAAAAGAGGAAAAACTCATAAGGTGGGGTTGAGATGGGGAGTTGATGTCCGAGTGGATCGAGGTCACAATAGCTCAGGTGATAGAGCAGTGGCGTATCTAGCCGAAGGTCGTGGGTTCGAATCCCTCTCGTGCCATTAACTTTTTTCATCTCAACTAAAACCCTTAATTAATTGTCATATTTTTGTAATTTTCATTCTGTTAATCAAGCTAAAATCTTAATAGTACTTTTGGAATAAACTATTCTCTCTTTTTATTGATAAAAGACATTAAATTTTAAACTAATATGAGAATATTTTTAATTAATCATTCTACGTAAATTTAATCCAATGGTAATCAAATTATTAATTCTACTGTCTTTAATAACGCTAAATGTTTTAACAAAAGTTAATTATAATACGTAGAAATTCAAAAAGGCCTAACCGATTCTGGTTCAGAGAGAACTTCAACTTCCGAGTCTTCACTTTTCTCATCCCTGTAAACATATTCTTTTTTGACATTTGTTGTTAAATCCTGTAAAACGATTTCTGTTAATTATGCATTGCAATAATCAAATGTTTGTATAAAGCTTACGGATTGTATAGAATCGACAACGTTCGTTTGAATTGGTTGTACTTTTTCTGTACTTCGGCTGATCAATTTACAATCAGATATTTCTTGTTGTCTCTAAAGCGAAGTACAATACAATACATTAACTTGTGACTATTTGTATCGACAATTATTACATAATAGAATTGACATTTCAAAATATTTATTATTTTGGGTATTAAGTTCACAAACCTACCTCACTGCTTTGTAAAATATTCGAAGTCCTTCGGGTAATTTCTGCAATAGGGTCCTAGCATTTAAAAATAAAATAATTCACTGTATAGTGTATGAATAATAATTAAACATAATATAAGTTAAAAGGGGACTGTGGTGGCTGAGTGGTTAGGGTATGCGGCTCGTACTGCCAGGCTAGCAGCATTGAAAATAATATGAAGTGGTTTGAACCAGGGTCCTACTTTTTAATCAAATGTTAAAATAGATTTTAATCATTGTAATTACAATAATTATTTCAAAGTATGAATGAGGAACAAAGGTGGCAGAGTGGTTATGATGTTCGACTCCTATGCCGTGCAAGTGGTCCTGAGTTCGAATCCTGGCGTAGCCCAAGGTTTCTTAATTGAAATTAGTATAAAAATGGTGTTACAAAGTGGTCTACCATTGAATGTATAGTTGGACGTTAAGCCCTCCTGTAAGACAGGAATTACAATTAATCTGGATCATGGTATGATCTGGCTGAAAACACCATCAATTCTTACAGCCAACCAAGCTTTTGATCTATTTTAAGGTCTTCATCAGGGCAAAAGAATCTTATGTCTACACATTGACATAATTATGTTTTTAATAGATTTCAAATTTCTTTGAAGACTTTTTTTATTTATTCATACTATACTGTGTATCCAGATTATTTATTCCTGAGTAAAAAAGTGGTCGATATGCCTAATTCTTAAGACAGGAATTATTTAAATTTTTAACCTTTTAATGAATGGGTTAAACTATATTTCAAATAAATTTATTATGTATTTCAAATTAGCATAGCCTTAATAGTTGGTGTCCGACTCGTATTGCCACACTAGAGGTTGTGGGTTCAAATACCGTGGTTTTTATAATTGAAAATAGTATGAAAAACGTATTGCGAAGGAGTCTGAACTCTCGTCCAGGACAGCCAATGTGTAGTTGGATGTTAAACCCTGCTGTAAGATAAGAACTCTACTTTTGAATCAAAGGTGAAAATAGATTTTAATTATTGTAATTACAACAGTTTGGTGGCAGAATCGTTGAGGGTGGTCTGACTTGTATTGCCATGGTACAGGTTCTAGGTTCGAATCCTGGCATAGCCTTTTGATTTTTCAATTCTAAATAATGTGAAAAACGTATCGCAAAATGGTCTGCGACACCCAACAAATAGTACGTTAAACCCTCCTGACAGTATTTACTTTTCCTTTTTTTCAAATTATAACATATATGTTCTTTATTATATGATTATAATTGTATATAATAAGGCTAACCTTTGCGCAACTATTTATACAATTTGTTTTTCAATGTTTGTCTTTCATTTTTTAAAATTTAGATATAAATCAACCTATCAAGCCTACCACACATTGTGAAACATCAGTCGGCTTAGCGATTTCAGCAGAGTAGACCTAGGCACAAAATACGGTTTGATTAATTTTGACACTTGTTTTTACCAAAATATCCCTGAGTATTTGTATCATAAAATGAATTTTAGTTCTACTATAATTTATGTTAATTGTGACAACTGACTGAATCTGAAGTATAATCGTTGTTTGTCCTCACAACATCCACTTTATCCTCGCAATCCTGCAATATGGATGAAGAAATGAACATTTTTAAATGTAAAAAATATATTATTGAATGAAATATTCTCTTTTTCAACTTACAGAATTAAAATTCATCTAGAATGACCGCTTATCTTGATTTGTGTCTCCTAAATATATTAAAATTATATGTTTAAATTTAATCAAATCTCAGATAGTATGTCAACTCAATTCATTGTCAAGAGAATGTTCAAATTTAAACTATATAAAATATGAACACTTTAAAAAAATTCTATTACTTGAATTCGTCTATTACATATTATATAACTTTCTGTGATAAATACATAAATTGCAGCAAATATTTCAATTATGTCAAAAAAAGGAAGACTTTATTGAATTGATTTCAATTTGTACTTACCAAACTTGAATAAATAGAGCCCTTGATGTTGTCAAGTAATAAATAAGGCAATCATTTTTGAAAGTTAGACATAAACTCGAACTCTTGTAAACAAGGGGAATAATCCTGGTTTTGTATAGAACAATTTTCATCCAGTCGACTGTTCAAGGATTATCAGATCTCGAATAACAATTCACGCTATATTGTTTACGTTTCAAACCTGACTCTAAACATTCCTTCCATCCTTCCTTATTCAGCTGTCTTTCATCTTACCTTTTAGGCATAAAAGAAAATTGAAAATATTATTTTTAATTAAAATTAGTATATTCACTGCTATATTAGTGAAGATAGATTAAGTAGAATAGAATATTTTTAATTTTTAGGCAAAGCTGATGAGATTCAAACCCAGAATCAATCGCTCTAACAACTCGGCCACTTTAGTCCGTATGATGATGATGAAAGGATACCAGGAAATTGAGAGACATGAACGATAGAGCCGATTTCTTCAATTTCAATCTTCTCCAATTGTTTAACTCCTTCTTGATTTAACGTTGTAAGGTTTTATCACAATTTTAATTTTATCCAAAAATTGAAAGTTGAAAATAAATCTACTAGGAATGTAGTATGGTATATATTTTCAACATTAAAATATACAGCGAAAATTTGACAAAATCAATGCTTCTTTAATTCAATTTTTCCCCACTGGGACACAATATACATAAAATATATTCCTTATATATTTAAATATATATTTATCTATGGGAATTCATTATACAACTAACAGTAACAAAAAAATTAGAAAACATCCACTTTCAAGATGCTAAATAGTTTTACTGTCTAATAAATATTTTCTAGGTTTTATTTTAATTTTACATGCAAAAGTCTGTAACAGTACTCAAAATTAGAATGACTAGAATGCACAAAACATCAGTTTCAATTGAGCATAATTAAATTAAATGACTAGTAACTCAAGATAAGAGACTGTAAAATGACATCATTACAAGTGTCTTTGACTTTTCAACGCTCTTATCCTTCCTTGACACACACTCTTTCACTCGCTTTCCCTTTCAATACCAAAATGAAAAAACATTGATTTACTTGTAGAGAAAAAGTATTGAATTTATATAATTCTAAATATAATATTAATTAAACTAATTATTTCATAACTTATTAGAACATTTAATGTTCTGGAATGTACCTTTGTTATCACATTATAATGTCTTTAAAACATTTATTTTGCTCTTGTGGAACACATACATAGATTACATTGTTTATTTCACTTGAATTAGTGTCCACTCGTTTCAGAAAACCAGCTAGTATTAATTATAATCTAACGCTAAATAGCCAAAGACATACTATACAAATTTTGACGAAAACAAAAAAAAACCTTTGACAATGAGGATTAAAAATATCGAAGCATTTAGTAGAAAGATGATTTTTGAAAACTGGTGGCAAAATAATAATTCGTTTTTTAAATATCCTTCAACAAAATACTTCAATTAATTTTTTTTTTGCTTCAAAAATCACAAGCAAGTTTTTTTAAGCACTCAGTAATCCCCCTCTAGGTGTATACAAAATCGGGTAATTTCTACAAAAATAAATCTTCATTAGTGCAATTATTAAATTATATACAATATGTTTACCTTTCATTGCCTTTGAATGCACAACAAAGAAAATTAAAAATTTTCAATAAATTATACTTAACGTTTACAAAACACAATGTAATACATGTAATGTACACAATAAGATTTTTTATATCACAAACCAACATTTTGATTAACATTAGACCTAAAAGTGGCATACACAGAGCAAGTGCTTACAACACTGTACTAATTTATTAACATTTATTATAAATTTGCTTTATAAATCTAGACATAAGGGTAATATTGCATTACTTGATTCACTGGGATCTTATCTACGGTAAAAAAAACAACCTTTCAGTACTTAATTTGGGACCAATGTTCAAATAGTGACTGTAATGTGTAATGAATAAACTGAAAAAACGTGCAGGTAAAAATAAGAAAACTAAACAATAACAACCACAAAAACAAACATTTCAATAAATACCCGTATTCGAAATTAACCGCTAAAATAAAATGCTCGATGAAACCCAACCTTTTTCAAAACTGTATAAGTTTTGAAGTTAATAAATTGGGATTTAAACATTTATAATCAGTTCAAAGGTTGTCATGGTGTCTATTACACACAAAGATATAATGTAGATAACTACAATGCATGAACAAATAATGTTACATTTTTTTTTTTAAAGCTATAAATATTAAAACACCAGCACGAATATTTATATTTTTAAGTCAAATACAGATTTCTAATTAATACTGATGGGACAAGGCGGAGTCCAGACCACCTGACAGTAAAAAAGAAAGTGTGTATTGTTTATCACATGATTGATGGAATTATTTCCTGCCATTTAGATCTCTGTTTAGAAAAGAATATTTGTTAGATGTAGCACGTCTTTTTTAATTTGGGGAAATGTGGCAGTAAAAGTGTAACATCGAAATGAAACTTTTTTTTCCCCTACAAAAGTGATGTTTCTTGAACTCTCATGGAGTTGCATAGGTTACTTAGTCTCATGATTTTTTTTTTTTTAGAGAATCCGTGTACTTTTTTGATGGAACTCCATCATCAAAGGTTTAGTTCAAACTAATTTTAACTTTTATTTGGGTAGCGTTTTGCTTAACATTGTAAGAATTTTCAGCCTTATCCTAATATTATAATTTACATGTAATAAAAAAAAGCTAAGGTTGGATAAGTTAGGAATAGTTGCTAAAATAAGTTAAAAAAAGCTGGAAGGAATATCAAAGATATGCTGGAAATAAGGCTGTAGATCTGAAGCGTGGCCATCCAGTACATAGCAAAGAGACGTTTCCCACAACCTGGAAGTCATAGGAACGTGATAGACAAATAGTCTATTACTAAATAAAGAGAGTTGAGGAGTTATTTGGTCTCAGACAGAGTTTATCCATCTGTGGGACATTATAAATTTTTGGGGCCACGACAGCCTGGTGGCGTACACTTTTCGCCAGATGTCTATCGACACAGAAACTTCTGACAATTACCAATTACTGTAAAGCCAACCTTTGCAGGAAGTTGACCATTTGGCCCAGCAGTTTTTGCTTTTTTCCTCCCCTACTCTGGTTGGGAAACCGGTATAAAATAGGATAATTTGGAAAGCAACGTCGGTCAACTTGAAGACATCCCAGTCAAGTCTGGGACTCAGTCAGCAAGGACCTAACCACTGTGACAAGTCGAATAGAGTCGACAGTCAAGGACCCAGGAAGCTGCAGGAAGAACCTAGAAGACACTGGATGGCATGGAAGCTGGTACTGGCAAGTTTGGGCTAAGCCCTCTTGTGAATAAGCTCATCCCAGAGTTAGAGTTGTGCCATACTTTCCTTGACTGTCTCTCTCTGGTTTATTGCATTTTTGGAACCTAACCTTCCACTACCTAAAAAGTAGTGCGTATGCTGAATGTATTCTCTTATCACTTTGAACACACACCTAATGTTTTTTTTTGTTATATGTAAATTATAATATTAGGATAAGGATGAAGATGCTTACCATGTAAGCAAAAATCTTCAGTGATATTCAACCTTTAGTTTCTTAGTAAATAAATGCTGAGAATTTTTAGTTTTTCTATTTCACCAATTGTAATATTTATTCTTATATTGTAAACCATTGGGAAAGAAAAATGAATAAATAGTAAATATGACGACTGAGGAGGTGAGACTATGCCATTAGACAAGAGGGAAAACAATTTTGAATGTAAATATTTTAACAACTATTATAAAAGTAATACTCGATAATATTGTTAAAAAATGATTATGATATAAAATATATTGAAATTTGGTTGTTATCGATCATTTTGGTCTGTCTATCTTCGCTGGGTTGGTCTGTCATCTTGCATTTAAGCATTTCACCATATTTGGTGCTGGATCAGTCAAGGCAGAAAAATGGAAATGCCAAGTCTGACAGACCAAAATGCCTGGTAATAACCAATTTTCATGTTTATCACCCTACAGACAACATGGAGAAATCTCACAATATAAAATATATATACACAAACATTTGATTTTTCTCGATTATTTTACACTTTACAGAACCTCTACCTGCCCTAACCAAATAACGGCCGCACATTCCCATAATATTAATTTATCAACTCAAAATAATTGTTTTAATTTAGTGTTTCGGTAACATTTGAACTGTTCGGTAACATAAAGAATACATATATATCTTGTCATAGGCTTTCAAAAAAAAAAATGTCAATACAAAAATGTGTCCTGAATAACTAAAAATAAGTCATTAAGCGTTTCTGTGATCTGTCTCCGAGGAAAGGCGATTTAGATGAAGTAAATGGGACTCGGTTTGAATAACGGTCCTAAATGTGGCAGTTAGGATGTTCAGGCAAGCCAGGGTTTTTCAAAAGACTATCTAATACAAAATGTTGCTAAAGCGGACGACATCTTAACATTCTGAATGTGCAGATTTTCAACATTTGATTTGATAAATATTAAAATTGACACGATTTAACAGACAGTTACATATTAATCAAGTAATTATATAAAATTGAACCACATAATCAAGTGGTAACTACGGTTCAGTTTAGATAAAATGGGTTTTATAGTTAAAAACTGTGTGTACAAGTGTAATCTGAATGGCTTAAAAGCAGAAATTAATTTTCTAGAATTTTCTACAGAAGAATGTTTAAATTGAATGTACTTTACTTGCCGATTTTTCATTACTTTAAGCAATTTTTAATTTCAAGGAAGAAAATTTTGTTTTTAAATAATGATTAAGGAGTATCAGAGAAGTAATACTATATACAGGGATTTATTTCTTCATAATTTTAAACATTTAATAGAAATTTTATTTATTTAAAAAACTACGATATCTCAAATGTCAATAGTGCACATTCTTTCTATTCCCCAATGAATAAAAACACCAATTAGGCCTTACATTAACATTATTACACATTATTTTAAACATGTCAGGTATTTCTCGGCAAAAAAAATAGCAGGAAATTCTTTAATAATTTAGTTTACATGTAGATGTTACTTGTGGAACATATTATGTATTATTACCATGATTTCCGCTGAAAGAACAATAATAGTTTATTGCGACTGTGTTCTATTTGGTTTTTGGTCTGACAGGATAGAGCTGATTAGTCAAAAAGCACAAAGCCGAAACTGCCGAAATATCAGATTAGCTTTCGTTTGATCCTGATAAGTCCCTTCAATACAAGCATCTAAATAATGACACAAGGGCCAAAAGGTATGACTGCAAACTCGTGCTAGCTGAGAACTAAATAAAAACATTTACTCCAGGCTTGAGGTTTAAGTCATCATTACCTCAACTGCCCTCCCATCTTCGTCTTCTTTAACAGGGAAACTAAGTCATCATACTGACGGACTCGAACAAATTGAAATAGTATTCAAGTACGACATAGTTGTTAAGGCTGTAGGAGAAGACTTGAAGGAGGTTGCGGTGATTGAAGGTGAGGTACATTTGTCAGTCGTATGAATTGGCCTGGCCTCACTTGAGCTTTTGTGCCTGAAATGTAACCAAGGAATACATAAAGTATGATTTAAAAAAAAAGTTATTAGTCAACCTAAAGGTTGCTTAGCCTTGTTAGACTTACTAATTTATTAATTTAAAAGAATATTAATGATTGAAATGTCCCACTATCAAGCAAAATAGCTATAAAAAAAAAAAATTATTCGCTCAATGAACTGTGTAAAAACACATGGATGTTTAGGTTTTAAAAAGAAATTACCAGGTAACCAGCAAGTTCGTGTGGTTTATCACTTTTATTGTTTTAATACCATTGATCAATATTTCTATTTACATAGGTGGGTAAGGTGTTTACATCATATAATACGAAGAAGATAAGGAGCATCATTTCATAAAGAAAAAAGTCTTTTATTGTTTTTTCTCATGGTTTGAAAACTCTTAATTTTCATAAATGCTTATTATAATAATTTAAGCTCGGTACTAGGGTGGCTGAGGCAACTAGTAAAATTTGCAGTTCAATGATGAAACACATGAGCTCACTGCCCAAAAGTGGTTCAAGTTTGTTTCTGGGAATGAGGGGATTGAAGATAAACCACAGTCTGGTAGACCTTATGTCTTCAATGATGACATATTGCGGGAAGTTATGTAAGTTGACTGTAGTCAAACAGTAGCTTGCCAGTGTTCAACGAAAGCAGCAACCAAAAAACCAATTTATTTGTTGTCAAAAAATGGATCAAGTACAGTAACATCAGGTTGTACCATTGGCTACCACCAAATGGGCCTGCCCCATTGACGCGTAAACCAATTATTCATCAGCAAAAGGTGATGCTTTGTGTTTGCTGGAGTACAACAGGACTTGTGCACTATGAACTTCTGCCACATGAGCCATCACCGCAGAAATCTACTCAAACCAACTGCAACGGGGTATTCCTTCCCCTGGCTCAGAAACACCCTGCTCTCGTGAACATAAAAGTTGTAATTTTCACCAAGACAACGCAAGATATAACACAGTCAGAGCGACAAAGGAGGTGGTAATGAAGCTTGGTTGAGAAGTCCTACCACACCCTCTGTACTCTCCAGACTTGGTCCCATCTGACTTTCATCTATTCTTAGCAATGGACAACCATATGCCCAATCATTCAATAATTACCAACAGGAAAATGAGCTGAATTTATTTTTTTAAGTCCTGGGACCCAAACTTTAATAAAAAGGGCATAACAAGGCTAGTAACTCTTTGAAATAAGGTTATAGACGCTGATGAAGAGTATTTCCCAATTATTAGACCCTTTGAAACCACACCAACTTTTCTGGTTACCTGGTAGTTAAACCTAAAACATTAATTTATTTATATTAGTCAACACTACTACAATTTTTATGATTATCATATTTGAAACAAAGACGGGCCTTGACTGTAAAATTGATCTGATTTTAATGGCCAGCATCCTACAAAAAACCTTTTAACTGAGTCATTACACTTGACATACTAGAAAATATGAGGAAATGGTGAAATATTTTATTGAATGGTGGTTTAAAGCCTAGTAGTCCTACAAAATGAAAATTGTATAGATTGTGGTGCTATAATTATTTTCTTGTCAATTTAAATTGTTTTTAGGACAACTTTCGAGCGGTCGTGCAGTTTTTTCCCTTACACCTAGCAGAGTTCGTAAAACTAAACTCACAGCAATGGGGTGACAGGTGGCCATCCATGGAGTGTAAGTGTGCAATCATCCTCAAAGAGAAAAAAAAAACTATCCTCAGGGTACAAAACTACGCCTGTGCAAATTGTCATGTAAATTTTCTTCACCGTTTATTTGAATCCTTTCCGTCAATTATGCATATTTATGCCTTCTACTTTTTTTGTACTTCTTAATTTATCCATTTAACGTAATTTACTAATATGATAATTTTCTTTAGTAAGGAAAGTTTTTTGCTCACGTAGGAAATCCCGCCTATCAGACTGTGTAAGTGTTTCAGAATTGTTGAACTTAGCAGTACAGGGAGTGGAGATTTGTGTGCTGCCATAAGCTACTGAAAGTTTTTATTCAGATGTCTCAAGTTTGATTTGAATTCACATTAAGAAAGCAGAGAAACAAACACGTTGCAATTCGTGACTAATTTGTAAATAATTTTCTTAAGGACTACGGAGGTAAGTTGGATATATGAAGATCCATTATTTCAATGAGAATATTCATGGATTATACCACACGTATATACCAATAAGCCTGCTAAATATGGTATTGATAACTTTGCAGTGTGCGTTACAGAGACCTTCTACACTATCAAAATGGAAAAATACATAGGAACTCGACTTTCTGCATTTGTCTGTTTATTACATTTTTTTCTTCTTCTTGGAAAAAAAAAAAAAAAATAAAACTTAAATAGTGGCGGGACAAAACGAGACAAGAAGTGAGAGAAGCAGGAAGCAATTCGCGGCCGGAAGATCCTGACCCGGAGGGCACTGGGTCCGAGGCTAGTGGGCTCCAAGTTCGAGATAGACGTTCTGAGTAAGATGTGGTCTCAGCGAGAAAAGAATATATTTTTAAAAAAGTGTGTGTGTGTGTGGCTTGTGATCCCAGTCGTGCTGATCTACGGGTGCGCAGAGTTCCTACATTTCCAATTTCTTTACCAGGCCTGATAATTCGGGACTAGAGACATTAGTTGTAAGTTTCGGCCTTTTGTTAGTTTTTAATTTAAAAAGAATTTGTCAATGTAATTATAAATAGAATAGTTGTTATTAGTATTTATTTTTTTAAAATCATAGTTTAAACCCTATGTAAGCTAAATACCCTAAGATATCAACTTGTGTTAAAGAATTAACTCCGATAAAAGAAGGAAGAACTTCATTATTTAGCTCCCATCATAACCCTGGGTGGAAGCACCACTTCATAAGAAAGAAGAGAAGCAAGAAGCGCTACATCAGCCGTCTGGGGTCTAACACGGGAACCGTATCTGTCCTTCCTTTTTCGCTCTCTTTTCTTTTCCATTGTTCTACTCTTCTTTTCCTTTTTTTCCTGGTTTTGGTATTTATCCTTCTCCAAAAATACCGTGGTGCTCAACATAACATCTGTAAATAAACTTTCACCCCATCACCGACAATCACTTGTCTCTCCCTTCAACACGTCCCCCCTTCTCCACTGTGCTACCGCCATCGTACATGCAGCCACAGTAAGGAAGCTGTAACAATTTTGGCCCCATAATATGTTCTGGCTTCAAATTTACCTTTTGAAGTTGTTGTGGCCAACATATTAAAGTAATTATTCAGATACCGTGGGTTTAGAGTTCTTTGGTTTTTATAGGTTCAGAGGCTAGTAACGGTCTCTGAGCAACTTTCAAAGTGTCAAGACCGCATTCTCTGTGCAGTTTGGTCCTCCGGGCCAGATTCAACATCTAGTTATGAAGTAAATATCTATTTAGTTAATTGTCTGTGCAAATTGTTCATTAATATTTGTCTATCTGTTGAATTTCTTATTTGTTTTGTTCACTTTTAACTGTCCTTACAAATTTGTGGTTACCTTTTAAGTCATCTAAATCAAGTATTAGTTAAAATGGAATCTAAACCTGAAAATGTGGACATCGTGTTAGCGCTGGGAGAAGAAGAACAAAACGTAAGTCAAGGCCTGAAGGAAATTAGGGATCTGGGAGAAATTCTGACTACGTTACACAAGGACCAAGCACAGCTCAACAGTTTTAAGGTTCAGATTGCCCTATGGTATGTGGGAGAAGTTTTGCACGGTATTCCATAATACAAAGGAATATGCCAAATTGATTAATGTGGATACCCCCACATTAGATACACTAAGGCAAATGATAAAAGCCTACTGGTTCGAAGCTTTGCCCTTTCAAGAGTCATTATTTCCAAAGGTCACGCCGAATACCAGTTCTACATACAATGACGGACCACTTCATGCCAGTTCTGGGTTGCAAGATGACGGATCGGATCGATCGATAAAATTGCCAGCAATCCAGTTACCCACTTTCAACAGAGACTTGGCTACTTGGCCAACCTTCAGAGATACGTTAACGATTCGCAAGAATAATCTTCTAAGTGTCATACTAAAATTACATTACTTTTGGATGCCACTGCAAGGTCCAGCAATTCAGGCAATATTCTCCATTCCCATCAGTTCAGAAAACTACCAACAAGTTGGAATTGTCTTCAAAAATGGTTTGATAACAAACGCATCAAGGCAACACGATACTTGGATAGGATATTGTCATTTAAGCCTTTACAAAGGGCATCATTGACTTCCATTCAGCAACTCACGGAAGTTATGTTCGAGAATGTTAACTCTCTGAGACATTTACATCTTGAAGACAAAGCAGGGTTTATATTGTTAGCAGTCATAATGCGACTGTTGGATCCTAAAACTAGAGAATCGTTTGACAATTTAAAAACAGAAGTTAATCGATTACCAAAGTTGGTAGATTTTATTCACCAACATTTGTCTTCAAACAGAACCCTGCACAATGATCACACCGCAAGGAAACTCAATGAAAACAAAACCCGAGACCAAACGAATTCTTTATGCTCAAGAGCAGCAAAAATCTCTGAAATATGCCCTGTTTGCAACCAACATCATCATCTGATGTATAAATGCCAACAATTCCAATCTATGGAAGTCGCTCAAAGAATTAACCTAACTAAAGAATTATGTATCTATAAACTGCCTTTTATTGACACATTTTTCGAGAGCATGTAAATCAAAAACGTCTTGTCGTCACTATACTGTGGAGTGCAGTATATGTTTATAACGGAAGAGTTGGCAAGGAAATTGCGCTCACTTTATCATTAAATCCGCATCAACTCTGTGGTTTTGGGGAGGTCCCAATCAACAATTGCAATTATCAGACTAGATGCATTCTTGCACCGCACTCCTCTCCAGAACCCGAGCTGACTACCGACGCTATTGTCATCCCCCAGATAAGTTCTGCCATGCCCTCAAGCCCTCTTCCAAATTAAATTAATGAATATTTCGATAAACTAAATTTGGCTGAACCATCTTTCTGTACGCCTGGTGGCATTTACTACCTCTTGGGTGCTGACCTCTTCGGTGAAATCATTTTGTGTTGTTAAGCCATCAACCCCGAAGAACTACCCCCAAGCGCTAGATACCATCTTCGGCTGGTAGTGATGGGCCCTCTTCAACACAAAATAAGATCAACTGCGATCGTGTTATTAGCAACACACCCCGCGAAGATGATTTGAGAGAAGTGATGTGAGAGGTTCTGGAGCGTAGAAGAAGTAGCTCATCAGAAACACGTAGATCCACTGGAAACAGATTGTGAAGAACACTGCCTGCCTTTATTAGAAATCCCAACCCCTTTGTCAACTCAAAGCTTGAAGGGGTTGAAGCAATTCGATTAAGGGTTGGAGGCCAAACTCAATCAACAAATTACCCTGAAGAAAGAATATTCTCAAATTGTGAAGGAATATTTGTAATTGGGATACATAAGCCACACTTCAAAACCAAGGTGATATTACCTTCCTCATTGTGGCCATAAGATAGCACCACGACCAAATTGTGCAACTGTAGAGTCAGTATTGATCGGATCAAAGGCCGTCTAACTTTGAAGGAACTTGATTGGGCAACAGGAGAAATAAAAAAGCGCATCCAGCACCTTTACTTTCCGGAAGGAGATAAATGCCAACAGAACATAATGAATTTAGCGCCCTTCAAAGATGAGTGGGGTGTCCTTAGGGTGAGGCGATCGGCTAGAACATGCACTGTCATATAATGCAGCAGAGTAAATGGTCCCGCCAAGAAGCTAACGTTAAGGAAGGAATGTTAGTTCTTCTCTGAGAAAACAATGTGCACCCATTGGACAAATACAACAATGTATACCAGGAAACGATAGTCAAGTCTGTGTGGTCAAGGTTGAACCACAGAAGGTAAATTTGTTCATACAGTGGTTAAATGACTATGAAATTTAATAGTTAAATTTGGTAGGCGGTATGCTGTGGCCAACAATATTAAAGTAATTATTCAGATAGCATGGGTTTAGGGTTCTTTGGTTTTTATAGGTACAGAGGCTAGTAACAGTCTTTGAGCAACAAAGTGTCAAGACTGCGTTCTCTGTGCAAATGCATGAACAAAAACCCCTTGTGCAACCCGGTGTTCAGTTTGGATAACCAGTAAATTACCAAACCCGTCGTGTCGTCTGCCTTAGGTGAAATCCACCATCGTGAAGACACTTTATCTAACTGTCGCATGAATGAGAAGGGGGCTACATATCCTATCTGCTGACGTCGCCTAGACATCAGTCAACAATCTCGAGCTGATACGCTAAGCTCAAGATTGCTGTTCTCATTATTGTTGTTGCCTGCCTGCAGCACCTATGGATTTGATAATTAAGTTCTCCGTCAAGAAGTCAACTTAAATATTTTGGAACTTATGTTTTTTGATTATTATAAGATAATAAATTCTCATGCAAATCAGATTTAATTTTAAAGAAAATTGTTAAATTAGATTAAAGTGCCGACATCTATTACTATAATTTGTAAAGACATAATAAATGTTGAATCCGGAATTTTTTGTTCTTGATTAGAAATAGATTGAACATTCTAACAGGAATCTAACAACGGACAGTTGGTATACATCCCAAAAAAATATTGTTTATATTTTTTAAGTGATTATTTACTTTTAAGCAAAATGAGGTTGAGACGAAAAACAGTGTCATGAGTGGGACTTGAATACATGACGTCGCAAGTCCCAAAATACTAACTCATCATCTCAACCTACAACTATTTCAATTTCTCTCGGCAATTCGGATTCTCAGCGACATACAAATTAGCAACAGGGAGAAGTTATTGATGTATGTGTCCATCAGTAATTACATTTATATACTTTTTGTGGGTCATCTTAACCAAAGTATTTTTAATTAATTATTTTTATGCACAATGAAATTGAGATGAAAAATTATTGTCACGAGCAGGACTAAATAGTTTTAGGTTGAGATGATGAGTTGAGTTGATGTCTCGGGGTCCAAACTCAATAGCTCAAGTGGTACAGCATTGAGGTACTAATCTGGATGTGATGGGTTTGAGCCCCGTGATGATACTAATTTTTCATCTTAACCTCACTTTTCATAAAAATAACCAATTACTTAAAAATAAAAATACTTTGCTTAATATGCCCAACTAAATTATGTTATAAGTTTTTTTGTAGAAATATTTATATATTATTTTGTAGAAAGAAATATTGTTTTAAAATAATTTTTCAAATTTACATCAGTTTTTCCTAATTTTGTGACAAAATTAGTTATTTGTAAATAAAAATATAATTTTATTTGTACCATTTCTTTCCTATATATTTTGTTAATAATAAACCCACCGACATATAAATAATTTAAAAAAGAATGGGCTAGGGTAATTTTGTAACATGACCGCTCGAAGGTTAAAAGAAAAGGCCTTATATTATATTTATATTGTAAGTGCATTTTTATTTTTTGTTATACCCACAAAATCTCCATCAGGCTCGACATTCAAACTGCACTTACTACTTCTAAATTACTTTATAGGATGAACGGTTCGAGATAGTCTTTGTTAAAGGTTTCTCTTCAAAATGATTTAATTTGAAATGCTTGTTTGAATGATTTATAATGAAGAACAAAATTCCAAATTTGGCCTAAATGTAATATAAAAAATTTCATGCACAAACTGACTGTGGTGGTATGGGCAAGTGAATATTTACGACATTGGTCCCCCATTAATTTGATATTGTAATTAAGTCATCCATAAAATTTTGTAAATCAGTAAAAAGTTATTTATAATTTCATTTAAAAAAGTGTGTTTTATCTTGGAAAATGCCATGTAAATTTCTTCAATCCTAACACAAATTAGTACGGGTGTTAAATGCTAAAGTACAACTTTATTACCAAAGGTTTAATGTACTTATTTAGGAATGTTACAAAATTTTAACAAGTTACGATTACGTTAAAAAAAAGAAGAAATTGTATTTCCCACAAGACCAAACAAAAATAAATGAAATATTAATAATAAATATCACAAAACTTATGCTTCTTAAAAGTTAAAAAATGCAAGGAAACTAATTGTTTAAGGAAGATGTATATACTCACGGGTGATGCTCTTGTAGATGAGTTGTCAGGCCAGCCTGGTCATCAGCAGTGAATGAACATTTTGAACAGCTCCGTTTATTATGTACCTTGTACATGTGGGTAGCAAGCCTTTCAGATCTGGCTGCTTTGTATTCACACAATTTGCAAATGTAAGGTTTAAGATGAGTGTTCAAATGCCTTTTGAGACACCAGTTGTCAACTCCAGACCACGAACAATAGCAGCATGTGTATCGTTTTTCTCCAGGTTTTCGCTTCGGTAGTTTTTCTTTGCGAGGTCTTGGCTCTTGTTGAATGATTTGCGTCTGCTCCTCTACTTGAAGTTGTACTTGTGTTTGCTGTTGTTCTGAGTGGGCCTCTTGTTGCAGCTGCTGTATCTGTTCCGTGCATTGCAATTCTTGAGCTTGCTGTATATCTTCTGGGTGCTGTAACTGGGACTGGCCTTGTTGCGGCGATTCAGTTTCAAATGCAATAACCTCTTGTTTAATAGGAATAATAGGTTCAACGGCCTTCGGCTGGGCTTCAAAAAACGTTTGTAAATTATCTTTATTCACTTCCCTCTTAATACGATTTATATCATATGGAACATCACGATGCATTCTCACAAAATGTTTTTTCACATGGTCTGCACGATTAAAATGTTTTAAGCAAATGTAGCAATGGAATGGTTTATCGTCTCTGTGGATGTTTTCATGTCGAGTGTACAAGTCTCTTCTATCGGTCGCATATGGGCAGTACCTACAATTATATCTCTTGTTCACGCCTGGCTGATTTGCGTCTTCTTGTGGGCTGTTCATCGATGACTCCAAATCCATCGCTTCTTGAGGCTGGAACTCGTGATCATCATCATCTCCTTCCTCTTCGTTATTTACTGACGACGTTCTCGCTTCGAGTTCAACTTTGTTTTTAAGTCTTTGAAGAAATTTAGTCACTTCTTCTAATACTGGATTCTCTTTCCAACATGTGGCCAACGGATCGAGATTCTGATCGGGAATGATGTTATGTTGTCTTGCCAAGTGCATTCTCACACATCTTGCCCAAGCACTGGCATAAGGGCACTGCGGGCATTGAAAAACACGCAAATTTGCGTGTGTCCCTAGCCAATGCTCGGCTATCCGAGATAGGTAACCAACACATTCGCACTCATTGCATCTGAATAATTGTTGCAAATTGTTGTAGCTTGCGATTTTCGATTGGGTCCAAGGTATAACCTCTTCACTCGACACCCAATTGTCTTCTTCGATAGTCCCCGTGAAGCTGGTGGAAGTAGACTGAATTGTAGCCAATGTTGAAAGGTTTTCGTATTCTGCCATCATTCCATCTGTTTCTTCCTCACCATATAATTTTTGGGAGATCTCTTTAAACATATCTTCATAGCATTCCATCACAGTTGGTTTTGGGCAGACTTAAAACAGGCCCAAGTTTATTATCCATTTACTGGAAACATCTATGTCCTGAAACAAAAAACAGAACTGTCGAGATTATGCTCTATACAAAATTATCAAAACCTAACTACAAATGCATTTGTTTAACTTTTATTATTCTCAACCAAAAGAGGACTTTACATCCTGCCGTTACAACACGATTTTGGTATCTTGGATCAGAAAATCAGAAGAAAATGAGGACAACTGGGATTCCAACACATGATCAATTGGCAGATGCATTGAGGCAAAAAAAAAGAAAAGAAAAGAAAAAAAAGTGCAACATGAATTTGTATTCTGCTGTTTTTTATGATTGTGACAGGATGGGGGATGCAGTAAATCTGGGAAATGCTCTTTGATCATCATTTAATTATTGTGGATGGTAATGAAGAAAAGGGAAATATAAAAATAAATCAAATTTTATTTTTTAATAATTTAAATTTAATTTGGTGGTAAAAATATTTTAAATCTAGAAAGTTGGTCCCTTTTTTTAACTAAACCCACCATTTATTTCTATGCCATCTAATTTAATTGCTAATGGCCTGAAATGCATTAGCGATTAAAATGTATGGCATAAAAATTGTGGGTTTGGGAGTGTGTTTAGTAAAAAAAAAAAAAAAAAATTAAGACATCATTAAGCAAATTAAATGCAATAACAATTTCATTTAAACAAAGCAAAAGTACACACAGCTGTAAAATTAAAATCTATATCAGTCGCTTTGGAAAATTGTCGAGACGTGAAGTTTTACTCAGCCAAAAGAAACTGCTATCTCAAGCATGGAAAATAATTTCCTGTTCACTTGTTTACAGTAACTGCAAATTTTGTTCATATCCTAGCGAAACATTGCCAAGGGAGACGATTTTATCATGTGCCTGAATTATAAAGTATAATAGAAGAGACTGATTTTTATTTAAATCAAATGAAAATCTTTTATTGGTAATTTTATGTCATGAATCAGTCACAATTACTAATAATTTGTACTTAAATAAATATATGTTTAATGAACAAATAAATTTTTTTTCACCATCTAACCGAAGAGAAGATTTTTAGCATTTTGTGGCTGTGCCCATTTTAAAATAATCAAATCAAAGATTCACAGAATTTAATTACCAGTAATTTGTATAAATTATTATAAATCTATTTTATGTAATTACAATTAGGATTATCAGCTGATACTACAAGTTTGAGTAAATTTTATTTTTGTTTTGCCTTCACAATACCCTTAATTTTGCCATAACATAGACTTAAGACAACCACTCAGACAGGTTGTCCATCAGTAATTTTAATATTAATTTGTTATAATGAAAAAATAAAGACTGATTATTATTATAAATAAATAAACAAATAATGTGAATGGTAAAGTTTGCTTATTGCCTCGGATTACCAGGCTAAACAGCATCTTTGGCAGAAAAATCACTGAAATTTATGATTTATTAACTGCACATAATAATAACGCAACTTTTTAAGGATGTATAAAAATAAAGATGTGATGGAAAATGCAATCAAGTGGTAGGAAGTAGGCTAGTTGAACTTTTTACAACTATATTTTTTTAAACAATTTATTGGATACATTTTTGAAACTGCGCCTGCCTTTTCCCAGCTAATTTTCATGCGGAGTGCTATTTGAAATGGGAGTTTTTTTATTTGAAAAGACATTTCCAAAAACAATCTCTACAAGAAAATTTGCCGAGGATGAGACAGGTGCGGTTTAGAAAACGTTTCAAATAGATTGTTTAGGAACATATAGTTGTAAAATGTTCAACATGCATACTTCCCACCACATACTGAATCAAAAACTCAAACAAGCAGAAATAAACCTACAAATAAAGAAAATATGGTGAATTTTATCATAAAAATGAAATGGCCAGACTTATTGCTGATTATAAAAACAAAATTAAGACAGTTAGAACCATGTATAAGAGGTAACCAATATAAGGTCCCCTCCTGCATTCGAACCCAACATACAAATGGGCTTTTTTTCCAAAAACCGGCACCCCGAGGGTTCATATATCCTCGCAGTTGAAATACTCTCGTTAAAAAATAAATTGTGAGAAGGCACATGTATCTAACAGGCGTTAACTTACAAAAAGCATAGAAGGTCTAAATAATCTGCTCCATGCTTGAAATTAATCTAAAATAAAAATGTGCCAATATGAAATTAAAAATCAAAGTTTCTAGGTAAGATGGACAGAAATTGACGACAAGAAAATAATCAACTTAAAATAGTAATTTTTTTTTTTTGACAACTTGTTTCTTAAACATGCTATTTGACTTGATTTAAAATAGATTTTTTTTTAAATAGTGTTTAATTGTTTTATTACAAAAGAACACTAAATTTAGGTCTCTTTGATATGAAGGGCTAGGAATTGGGTTGTGTTTGTCCCAAAGGATAAGCACCATCCTTTATACTAACAGGCATGCACTTACAAAAAACAAATTCTAAGCAATCCGGACCATGCTTGAAATTAATCTAATATAAAAATGTGCCAATATGAAATTAAAAATCAAAATTTCAAAGATAAATTTTTTGTTTACTTGTTTTTTAAACGTGTATTTGACTTGATTTAACATTTTTTTAAATTAATTGTTGCATTACAAAAGAACTTTAAATTTAAGTCTCTTGGATGTGAAGGGCAAGGAATTGGGTCATGTTTGTCCATAAGGACTTTTCCTTTGTTCTAAAGGCATGCACTTACAAAAATCCTGTAAGTTCTAAGCAATCCGGGGGATCACGCTTCAAAATAATCTAACGTATGTATAACCGAGCATAAAAAATGTGTGGTTCAGAATGGCCTGCGATATAATACTATGTAAGCCAAAAGTATCTAACAGTGATTGACTGTGGTCCAAGTCGGTTTGCAATAGATCATCATGTTCTGAACTAAAGTCGAGTATGTGGCTCCCAGCCCAGAAAATTATTCTATTTTCTGGCGGAATGCACTATCCTTGGGGAGGTACGGTTTTAATATTTAGGGTTTTTTCGACTAACAAGGGTACAACTACTCGAGTTTCTATTATGGGAAAACATTAGGCCCTTAAAATATGCCCACTGGTTAAAGAATTTAATTTTTGGGAGAAAAATCTTAGTGACATTTCATTCCGTCAATCTAGCATTACCTATTTTATATTAATTATTATTTTTTCATTTTTTTTAAACAACCATCAGACTGAATAAGATCTATGCTGTAAAACACTTAGTTATTTTTTTGGTTCTATCATTTGTACCTTACTTGAAAAAATAATATGTATTCTATTCTATCTTATTTATATGAATAATTGAGTGATGTAACATTATAGAAGCCAAAACCATTAACTGTGGTCTGAGTAGGTTTGCAAGAAGCATCATGTTCTGGAGGAAAATCAAGAACATGTAGCTCTTGTGATGGAAGAAGGATTTGCTGTAACGTGACTATACACTGAATTTATGCTGGACAACATCAGTGGACCTTTTCCTATGGCAAAATTATTTGGCTGTGCCAGAAGTGGAATGTCAAATTGAAGTGGAGAAGTTAAGTGTCATGCAGCAGGAGAAACATGCCTCCAAACAATAAAAAGAAATGGAGGTGCAATACCAGAAATTTTTGGGTATAACTTTATTCCAAGGGGTGCAGGCAAGAAGACTACAAAAATAAATCCATTAATAAGTGGACCCTACAGAATCTAACAAGGAGGAGGAACAAGACCAACAAACTGCTGGGACTTTTACAAGAATCTAACATTACAAGATCTCCAGACGGAGAGGGTCTCATAACAGCAACCGCCTGCTTTGTATAAAGGTAGACCTTCCGCATGATACGGCTAACAAGGGGGCAGCTTCAATCCAAAAACCGAACGAGAGAAGCGGTTACAAACAATCGAATGATGAGGTGATGACTAAGCCTGTGACACCGTTAGATGCAGGGCAGACAGAATGTGGAAAACAAGAGATACACCGCTGAAAACAGCAAGGCACACAAGAGTGCCACTTTGGTTCACAGACCTTTCAGATGATGGCGTGTTGAGATAGTTAATGGCAATGGCATCATGTATGGTCTTTTCTTTGTTATCAACTATTGTTTAGCTGTAGTCCGGTATTTACATTTTATAAAGAAATATAAGTTTTAAAAAGCGTTCTAATTTCACTGCCATTATAATTAGCTAGAAAATGTGTCAATATGAGATTAAAAAGTGAATTAAAGTTTCCAGATAAGATAGAAGAAAATTGACTACAAGACTAGAATTGATTTTTTTAAAAGTGCTTTATCACAGCAGAACGTTAAATTTAAGACTATTGGACTAGAATATTAAGGAATTGGGTTGTGTTTGTCCTAAAGGATGGGTGCTTGTTGATCCAATCTTCGATCTTGGCCAAAAAAAAAAAATATAAAAAATAAATAAATAAAATAAAAATAAAAGCGAAAAAGAAAAGAAATGTTTTTTTTTTCTCACGGAAAACCCTCTCGTGGCTATAAACCTTGCGTTTACGATAGTAAAAAATCAATAGTTGTTCAAAAGCCACTAAGATATGTTTTAAAAAAAAGGCAATTTTCAAGCCGCGTTGGTCCAAAAAAAATTCTTTAGTATAAGGGTTGTTAATTGGAGAAAAAACTATGTCTGTTCAGTTTTTTAATTTTTTTAAATTTAAATGTTCAATATGCTAAAATATTATTTATATGAGCGATGAAAAATAGAGAAATAAACACGGCCAAAGTGCAAGTTTTTCGATTTATTTCCCCCCTTTCAACATTAGATTTGTATATTGTATTTGTAAATAAAACCAATTTTAAAAGGGGATTTTTTTACAAATGGGCCAGGGGTACGCCAAGAAAGGATGTCACAGCTTTTAACAGGCGAGGTTTAGGCAAAGGGTTAGCATGCAACAAACACTTAAAAAAAAGCTCTTCTCTTACGTACAAGATTTAGAAAAAACGTCAATTAATTTGAATTTTTTTTAAACAACCAAAACTCCAGTCCTTTGACGCGAAGAACACCCTCGGGTTGCGAAGGGGGTTGAAAATTAAAAAGCAACCCCCCACCAAGAAGTGAAGAGGAGGAGAAATATGAAACGAATGCGCAATCACGATCATAACATAATCAATGGTCATAGATCCAGGGGTGATGACAGACATGTCTTAGTTAGGCCATTAAATATATTTAAAAACAATTAAAAAATGAGCAAGAGAAACGGGATGAATGTGATGTCGGGGGATAAAAACCATTATTAAAGGATCAAGAGGGGGGCGTGGGAGGGTGAGACCCAGGTGAGAAGTGATCAGAGGAAATAAAAAAAGTAAACATTAGAATTAAAAAAAATATATATATACTATAGAAGGTGAAAAAATAAGGAAACTTACCTCGATCCAATGTAACATTTTTATATTAAAAACTCCTTAATTTTAGTTTTGTTTTTGTTCGAAAGGTTTGTTGTTCGGATAAAACTGAAAGCGGCTCGAATAAAAGGTTTAGTAAGTGCCGTAGTGTGAATGTACGAGCCGTGGTGGGGGCCGGCGTAGCCGCGTTTAATTTGATGAGCCGCGGTCGGGCGACACGGCTGCGGTGCGGATGAGGGCCACGAGCGGTCGGTCACTGTCGCGCGATAGGAGACGGCGGCTGTTACGATCCGGTCGGGCGTCGGAACACGAAAAACATGGCGGCGTCGGAACGGGCCCTCGGCGATGGTCGGGGCGGGGCGGGTGTTCCGTCGCTAGGCGACACCGGTCTCGAGCATTGCACAACCCCTGTCACGAGCCGCCCCCCTTCAATCAATGAAACTCCTACGTCACGTGCCGCCCTAGGTCAGAAATCCGCTCCATCGATTCAAAATCAAAACGCCCTCGATTCTATCATTTCAGGAATAATGAAAAGGGTGGAAGCAACAGCCCTAGAAAAAGGGCCAATGGTTGTTAAAAACAGGCAAATACCAGGGGTCCAAAGTGCTAAAGGAAAGGGGAATGGTCCAAGAGCCAAGGAGGGTTCTGGGTTAACACGTTTGACAGAATGACACTATAATTGAGTCAGAATACATGAGTCAACGCAAAATAGTCTGAAAATGCCTAAATACCCTAAAAAACTGGGATCTACAAAAAGACTGATGCTAAGGGTCCGGGTCAAGAGGTAATTTTAGGCAATAAGATGAGACAATGACTCAAAGATGGAAGACGGTATGGGTATGAGCATAAAACAGCCTAACTATGAACACCACATGACCCTAGTCCCTAGCACAACCGTCTTTCAAGCATCTCAAGGGTGTAAAATTAATCAGATAATCAATCAGTTCTAAAGGCTCTTCAAGTCATGAGATCAGAACTAGTTTGAAAATGCCTAAATATCGTAAAGAGTAGAAAATCAATTGTAGTATCAGATAGTAAGGCAGCTTCAAACTGGGATCTACAGAAAATTTGGCGCTAAGGTTCTGGGCCATGACGGAACTTCAGACTACAAGGCGACAAAATAAGACAATGGCTCAAAGATGGAAGACGGTATGGGTATGGGTAAAAAAACAGCCTAACTGTGAGCACCACATGGACCTAGGCCCTACCACAACCACCTTTCAAGAATCTCAAGGGTGCAAATATAATCAGATTGTCAAGCAGTTCTAAAGGCTCTTCAAGTCTGCAACATCAACTCAGAACTGTGCGAAAGTGGCTAAATACGTCAAAAAACTTGGGTCTACAAAAAGTCTGAGTCTAAGGTTCCAGGTCTTGAGGAAATTACTGGCAACAAGATGTAGCAATGGCCCAAAATAGGAAATGATATGAGTATGGGTATAAAAGGAGCCTAACTATGAGCACTACATTTCCCTAGGACCTACCACAACCACCTTTCAAGCATCTCAAGGGTACAAAATCAATCATAGTATCAGATAGTCGGGCAGCTATAATTTGGGATCTACAGAAAATCTGGTCCTAAGGTTCCGGGTTATGAGGGAATTTCAGGCCATGAGGCGATAAAATAAGGCAATGGCTCAAAAATGGGAAATGGTACGGGTATGGGCATAAAAACAGTCTAACTATGAGCACTACATGGCCCTAGCACAACCACCTTTCAAGCATCTCAAGGGTGTAAAATTAATCAAATAGTCAAGTAGTTCTAAAGGTTCTTCAACTCTATGATATCAACTCAGAACTAGTTTGACAATGCCTAAATACCCAAAACAACTTTGATCTACAAAACGCCTAACTTTAAGGTTCCAAGTCTTGAGGGAATTTCTGGCAACGAGATGTGGGAATCGCTCAAAATAGGAAATGGTACAGGTATGGGCATAAAAACAGTCTAACTATGAGCACCTCATGAGTCAGGTATCGTCAAACTGGGATCTACAGAAAATTTGGCGCTAAGGTACTGGGTCATGAGGGAACTTCAGACTACAAGGCGACAAAATAAGACAATGGCTCAAAGATGGAAGACGGTATGGGTATGAGCATAAAAACAGCCTAACTATGAACACCACATAGCCCTACCACAACCGTCTTTCAAGAATCTCAAGGGTGCAAATATAATCAGATTGTCAAGCAGTTCTAAAGGCTCTTCAAGTCTGCAACATAAACTCAGAACTGGTGTGTAAGTGGCTAAATACGTCAAAAAACTTGGATCTACAAAAAGCCTGATGCTAAGGATCCAGGTCTTCGAGAAATTAATGCCAACAAGTTGTGGCAATGGCTCAAAATAGGAAATGATATGGGGATGGGTATAAAAGGAGCCTAACTATGAGCACTATATTTCCCTAGTCCCTAACACAACCACCTTTCAAGCATCTCAAGGGTTCAAAATCAATTGTAGTATCAGGTAGTCAAGTAGCTTCAAACTGGGATCTACAGAAAATCTGGTGCTAAGGTTCTAGGTCATGAGGGAATTTCAGGCCATCAAGCAACAGAGTAAGGCAATGACTCAAAGATGGGAAATGGTACAGATATGGGCATAAAAACAGCCTAACTATATGTACTACATGGCCCTAGGCTTCTAATAATATTTATTAAGAAAACTCAGAAACAAGATTAGATAACTGGAATGCTATAAGGCTATTACTGTTAGGGAGAACAGGAATTATATCTAATTCCTGTTTTATATGTATATTTATATATTGTTAATAGGAAGGGTCATAGGATTTCCCTTGGGAGTCATCCACTTAAAAGAGAATATGAGAAGGAAAGGAAGTCCCCTAAGAGATGCCGTCGTACTGGCAGGTCATATAGAATTTAAATATTAAAGGATGTATGTGTGAGCTTCCACAGGAAATCAGATCCATACTCGATCAAATGCTTGAGCCACATCCAGGATACATTTTAATGATAATTTGGCCAAGTTAAATCTTGGCAGACTAAAAATTATGGATGTGCAGGTACTGACAGTGACTGGTGCTCATGAACCACTTACTGTTACAAGCTATTGTCAATAAGTATTCCTAATAAATACATTAAAAATATTGAGCTAAGAAATACACTGCACTTATGTGCTTATACATATTACAATCTTAACCAAATTTATTATATGCTTCCATGCAGCTTTCTGGAAAAGAGCTTATATTGAAAGGGCTCTTCAAATATTGTAGGGCCCCTATGGTTTTCAAAATACACTCCCTTTTGGCCTCATACCCTTCATGCTCTAACAACATATTCTCAAAATTCTCCACAATGTCACAAGTTGTACAATTTGGTAGATGGTATTTTTTCAATTCTGTACAAACACTATCCACAAATACCATGGCCAGTTCTCAAAAAGGCCGAATCAGCCGAGAAGCACTGATTATCAACAGCACTGTCAATAGGTGATCTTCAGAGTATCTAACTTCTAGCAGAGGAGTCATACATAATTAAGAATGCAAAGATGACACATGGCCAAAGGCTGTGCAAGTGTCAGGCTTGTAGAGAAAGATTGCTTGGTGTCCCACCTAATTGAAGGTTTTAATTCCTTGGTTCCACATAGAAAGCATAGGAATGCCACCTGATATGAGAATTGTGCTTGAGCAACAAGTATCTGGGTCCCCTCTTCCGATTCATGGAGGAGAGATGGTTGTTTTATTGCAAATAGTACTTATAATTTTGCGTACCTAGTGTGTGAATGTGTAACAAATAAATCAAAATATTGTATAAGTATTTATTAGCGTGAATGTGTAGGGTGAGAACCTTCTACCTAGGTGGTGGTATATTGAGTACCCCATCGACCCTCAATTAGGTTAGTTATATAACAGATAAAAAGCGTGATGGAGGAATACTACATAACTGAATGAATGGTATGTAAATAGAAAAGATTGTATTTAAGAGTGAGTGAGGTGTGAGTTGGTTTGGATTTAGGAATTGATTGCATTAGGAGCTGAAATGACCTTGCAGTTGATAGCTCCTGGAGCCCAACCTCGGTAGCTGGACCGATAAGACAGAAGTCTGACTCCGGACTGCCAACACCAGGAGTGAGTGATTTTCGAGGCCTACCGTAACTTATTATAAATTACAAAAGCTGGAATTGTTGGTGGACAAGCGATAGACTCAACGCTGTACACTTGTGGTATGTATATGTGTGCAGATTTAAGGGTATATAAAATCAGTAATCAGTTCTCATGCGTGACAGTGTTGCAAAGAAGGATTCTTCCTTCACACTGAAACCATGTTTTTTTTTCTGAATGTTTGGGAATAAAGAACAATAACTTTTGCCACCTTGTTACTTTCTCTTTTAAGATAATTTATAACTTTGCCCTTCGTTATTGTAATTTCTAGGGCAATTGTTGCCTGCTTAGCTGATACATTGTATTTAATGCCTACATTACCTTTGATCCGGCATATTACTATATCCTTGCCTTGTTCAATTAATTTATATATTTGTATATACCTCCAGTATCCTGCGAAACCTCCCACAAGGCCGTCCTATTTTTAACCGCAATATATAACACAATCCTACAAACCACTCACTATATTCCGTCATTATTCTCATCCCTAAAGCTCACAAAAACCCTAACAGATCTCATCCAACAGACCTATTAGCCTGTGTTCCGCAATGTCCACAATTTTAGAACGACTCCTTTTAAAACACTTAATACCATCCTTGACACCTATAAAATCTTCCCTCTCACCAATTCGGTTTCCGTCCTCAACATTCCACTATCCAACAATGTTTTAGAGTAGTCGACACCATCTCATCGGCCCTAGAAAAAAAGGAGTATTGCCAGGGCACGTTCTTAGATGTAGCAAAGGCTTTCGACAGGGTCTGGCATCCAAGCATACTTTCCAAACTTAAGCGCTTCCTACCCTCTCATTATTACCTTTTATTGAAATCCTATCTAACTGATCGCTGTTTCAGAGTAAGGTGCGCCAAGGAATAATCGGAAGTCAAACAGACACAGGCCGGTGTACTGCAAGGTTGTATCCTTGGTCCTGTCCTATATATCATTTATACTGCTGACACTCATTATCACCATCTACACGGACGAACCGCAATCCTATCTTCTAACTCGATTCCTGTCCAAGCTACCTCCAAGATCCAAGAACACCTTGATCTTATCGAAGACCGGTGTAAACAATGTTGGACAAGACTGAACGAAGAAAAATGCACTCAGTGTACTTTTACGCTGAAAATGCAGTCTTGCCATCTACTGTACATCAACAACAAAGAGATACCAGTTTCCACTCAAGTCAAATACCTGGGACTATAAATTAAAAAAAAGATCTCAGCTAAAATAAAATCATATTTATATAAAAAAATGAAATTTAATCACAACTCACTAGTTAAATAATGTTATGTTGAGAAGATAAAAAAAAAAAAAATAATAATAAAAAAATAAAGAAATTCAAAACTTACAATGCAGTGGCTCTGAGTATTTATGGATTGACAAAAAATCCTAAGATTGGTGTACTTCTAAGATCAATTTGTCTGGTTTTGCTTTATCAAAATTTTCGGCAGGGATAATTTGAAAAATAGATAAACAAAAATATTTAGAGTGTCTTTAATACTATCAATTTGTACGAAGAAAACAACAAACAAAATATTCAAGTTCACACAATGACCTGTTAATTTTATTAGGAGTGCAATTAATGAATGCAAATATTAATACTATCTGCGCTGTTTATTTATGCGGGCATAAACATCATGTAAAAGTGAAGATCTTTTATTAATTGCACATAAAAATAGAATGTTTTGTAAATAGACAAAAGATATTCCCATATCTGCATATGGTATTGTCGGAACCATTTGCATAATTTATTTTGTTTGCATTATTAAATAATGTTCGTGGAAATCCTTAATAAATAGAGGAAAATCCCCTTAGCTAGGAAATGTGCACCCATTGCAATTTCGCCACACTTGCATGTAAGGCTTGAACCCAATCTACTTCCGGGGACAAACCGTCTGTAAGTAGACATGATCAATTTCCTCTTTTTCTTTCGTGACTACTTCTTCTTAAACCAAACCTTAATTAAATCAAGTAAAATGTTTTTATTATTATTATCTTGTTTTACAACAGTGCTAGAGCGCTGCAAGCAACTTTGTTGTCTTTACAAGTTTTGTGTTATAACATTACAAGAAGGAAGAAGTAATTCACTAAGTACACTCCTATAAGAGCAATAATTACTTTCCTCAGGGAGGAAAATGTGCGGTCTTTTAGGGTTTAGGTGCCTTAGAGGATTGTCTGGAAGGGTTCGAGATAAAAGGGGTAGGATGAGGGTCTAGGGTTTTATGGATGTATCAATTTTCACTTTTTGAGGTTTGGACAGGTAAGGATAGTAAAGTTGGATATAAAGTAGGGAGCTTGGGCAAGGGTTTGAAAATTTTTAAAGAGGAGTGACTGGATTCTTGGTTGGTATACTGGATTGACCTCACAGCTTGATACCATCCAAATTAACTGTAGTAATGATGTGTAGATGAGGTGTTTGTTTTGTAATAAGAATTTTGATCTGCCAAGTAGTCTTTGGAGAGTATGTATTGTATGTTCAGCTCTATTCTTTTGAGTCGAGTGTGGGGTGTCTCTTTACTCAATGAGTTAACTTCATCAGCACACTCTACGACCCAAATGGAAGAAAAAACACCATATAAACCATGGTTCCATTTTCAACTCTTTTGCAGATCTTTAACATTTTTAGTTTTTTTTCAACTATCTACGATTTTCATCATAAATATACTCGTTACTCGTGAACTATTTATTTTTGAAAAAAAAAAAGACATTGAAAAGAGCGTTAAATTTCTTTCAAAAAGGCCCCTTTTAGAACTTTCAATTTAATTTTTGGTAACAAAAGAAACATTGTCTTTCAAAAAACTGCTAAACATAAAATTAGTTAAAAAAAAAACTAAATTTGCATCCTCATTGGAAAATGGAAAAAGCTTGTCAAATTTCATAAAAACTTCTTCGTTGAATAAGCTTTCTAGCGGTATAACCTTTTCTTTGATTACATCGAACCGAAATGCAGAAATTTTATGCTAAATGGGAAAAAAGTGGTCACGGTGTAAAAAGGGGGAATAGGGTTAATCTGGTAATTTAACTTTTTTCCCGGGCAAAATTTATTTCCCAACTTCAACTAAATTAAAAAGCAACAAATGAAACAAAACACATAAAAAAGATACAATAAACATAGCTAACAACCAAAGCAGAAAAAAATGGACAAAATATCTATACTAAACACAGGCAAAAGAAAAAAAAGAACAACAATACGGATGTACAAACCAACTATAATGTAATAAAAAAGTACAAAAAAAAATTTGGTTGTTCACAATGTATGTTGCCTCTCTTTTATGTGTTTTGTGTGATTTTTACATTGAACTTTTTTGTACTTCTTTTATTAATTAATTTATTTATTTAAGGGTCAAGAACCCATTTCTTTAAAAAAAAAAAATAATAAAAATATAAACTAATAAATACTTTTCACTGGAAAACTTCCCCTTTAAATTCTCACTTCTTGCACAGACCCTGTGTAGAAATCAATCTCGGTCAATAAAAATTCATTTTTAAAGTATCGGTAGTTTAGTCGTTACTAACTTTGGTCTACTTATCCTAGCTGGTTTGGTTCATCAGTGTTTCAGCATTTCGCCATCTTCAGTGTATCTATGTATTAATCATTATTTACCACCTATGACTACCATTTTTTTTCAAAGTATTTTTTTGTTTGTTTTTTAGGTGAAATACAATGGAATTTTTCTACAGGCTTAAAAAACAAGAGAAAAGGCTGCCTTTTGGCAGGGACGTTCGGATATATGAAGAGCCGGAAGGGTATTTCTTCTTTCAAGATGACATGTTGTACCTATATAACAGAGACAATTTAAGTCCCAAACTTGAAAAAAATATCGTTGCGGATGAAATTTACTTCTTCAATGAATTTATTGCGGTGAGAAGTGTGTCAGATATATTTCAGTATGACAAGAATGGGCTATCGCTAGTCAGTATGAGTGACGATTATGATGGTGATATCCTAGAAGGAGGAAGGAAGATCATCAAGATAGGACGTTTCTTCAAACACAACCATATAGGACTTTTAGTCTGCGAAGATAAATTTGAGTTTTATGAGTTCATAAATGGCGATTTTTTCCAAAGGACGCTTCCCAAGCATGCAGCAAATGTCTTGAATTCTAAAGTTTGCGGTTCGGAAATCATGGTACAAAATCTGCGTGCGAACAGCAGTGATCATGTTGTTATAAAAGGAGAGAAGACGATTACTTTATTATCTTTTGACGACTCGGCGAATATTTTGGAATTCGTGTTGGATGAAAATTTAAGAAGTGAAAGAGTTCACTTCGCCAATTTATCAGGAAAAGAGATGAAAGATATGATTTTTTTTACGAAGGCTGGCCTTTTAGTCTACTCGTATGATAGAAAGACTAATAACTACGCCCTGGCTTACCACTACAGGTCTTTCTCGAGTTACAGGAAGTACGCGGATTCTGTGAAGTTCGTCGATATCGATTTGGACGGGGTGGACGAAATGGTCGCCAACTCTCCATGGGGCTTGACCATACACGTGCACAACAAGTACAGAAAAAAGTTCAAGAACGTGCTGGAAGTCATGCCTTTGTCGTCAAGGTACGACAAGTTGATACACGCAACAAGCAAATTCGTCTTCACCGAATCTGAGAGCGGGCTGAATGTTTTTGAAATTGTAAAGTCAAAAATCGAGGAGAAGAGAGAATTGGAAATTAAAGGTCCGGCATCTTCCATTAAATCAATGCTTCCAAAAGTAAAAATGGGAGTAGAAAAGGATGAACTTCTTCTTCAAAACACCCTGGATTATTCCCAGGTGTTAACGTCCGTCGACGCATCGGGGAAGGTCAAATTCACCCTTCCACTTTTCAGTTTGGAGAAAAGTCTAGACTTTGTAATTAATTATGTCGGGACGAACGCACAGTCGGACATCATCGGTGTTGGTTGGTTCTTAACTGAGGACAAAATTGTACGAATGCACGCCTCCAGCATCTATCAAGAAGACGAAAGGTATTTCCTCGTGCTGAAAAGCATTCCGATACCGATTCAAATAAAAAACTCCACTTTCGTACTCAATGGTACAGATTATAAACTTAATTATTTCCCCGAAAAGGAACATTTCGAGTTGGAAGCTGGGGAGATGAGGCTGCTCTACGGGATTGTCGACAACAAAGCTGACGGCGTGGAATACGAATTGAAATGGCACGACTGGAACGGACCTGGCGGTGATTCCGACGGCCAAGTTGCATTCCCAAGAGCCTGGTACTTAAAAAGACTCGTCATGGAATCGTACGCCATCAATTTTAATTATAAAAAAATCGACGTTCGAACGCCCAACGGCATGTCGTACACGAGGGAGATGTACTTATCAGAGGTTTATGACCACCGAAACAAAATACAATTTTTCTACGGTGAAAAATTTCAAGAAGAATATAAACTGCCACCGATGATTGATGAGGAAACGAGCAATTACAACATGGACACGGTCAAAACGAAATATTTATCAGGTTACAGACTTGAAACTTCTAATTACGTGCAGAATGTTGATTTTATATATAGCTTGATAAACGGAAAGCGTTTTTTGAAAAATATCGCACAAAAAGGGATTGTTTTCATGAACTTTTCTTATGAAGACGACGTGTTGGTTGGTGTGAACTTTCCTCCGACAAATGTTTCATTGAACTACATATACGAATTGGGCATAGATGTAAACAAAACATACATAAAAAAAATCGAAACTGAAAATTATGACAACTATAAAATAGACTTTTTAAATAGATTGATAATTGTTAGTTATACTCACCAAAACAAGACAATAATAGAGATAAATGACAACGAGATGGGTGAACTTGAAAAATTCACCCTTAACAACGGCAATAAATTAGTGAAGTTTTTAAATGTAAGGCATATGATTTGTGCACTTTTTAACTCTGGGGAAATTCATGTCGTACACCAAGAAAAGAACAAATTTTACGATAAAGGGAGCTTCAATTTTACGGTGGGGGCTATTTTTAAACCGAGCGGGAGTTTTCTAATGTATAAAGATAAAACTGTAGGCGTCATCGAATATGACGACGAAAAGGGCGAATATACCAGAAAAGACCTTTTTCCTGAAAACAACTTAGTGGCCACAGCCTTTAACAGATTTGTGGCCGTTTACGATAATGTAAACATTATGCTGGCCTATAAAACGGCCGATCACTGGCACACCAAGATTCTAAAAAACATACCAGGGTTTATTGACCAGTTGAACAACACGCTTAACCTGTTCGATTTCACTGATAATTTCAAAAATGACATGTACACAATGTTTAGTGAATTGTTAATACAGATTTTCAACAATATGCTCATGATTAACACGGTTAAATACGAGAACCTGCAGTTCGAGACGAGGATAAATGTTTTCCTCTTAAATCAAACCTACGACATTGTCAAGGAGAAGGAGATTGTTAAAAAACAAGATGACGTTACATCATTGGTGAAGGATAGCCACTTGAAAAACTCAATTTACGAAGTAGTCTACGAACCTTCTGGCGACAAGCTCAAGAAAAAAGTTATCGGCTTTAAGGGCGAGATAAAAGAAAAATTCGACGAAGCTAAGCAGTTCGTATTTAACGAGATAAAAGAGCACGAACGGAAAGTGAGAAGACACATAGAGATGATCAGGTCAGAACAAAAGGCGATTGTAATGGAAAAAGCTAAACCGTATTATGAGAAGGCGGGAGAAACGTACAAACACTTGGTCGACGAGAAGGTCGATATCGAATTCAAAAGTTTAAACGATGCGTTGAACCAAGAGCTTGAATCAGCTTTGAACAATCTGAAACAAGCGAGGCGAGATACTGTCGAGGAATTCGAAAAATATAAAATAGAAATTTGTCAAAACATAACACAGGCTTTGCCCCGTGACTATGCCCTACTCGACAGGGACAAATATTCATTCTATCTGTTGAACGGAAAGATCACAAACGACAAGACCCAGTATATATACACTGGGCAAGATTTTATAGAGAAGGAGATGACCGTCGCCATCGGCAATGACATAAAACTGGACCAAGGCTACAGTTTAAAGAAAGATGTAACATATAAAATTGTAAAGGATTATGAAGAAATTGACTTGGAAGTCGGTGAACTTTACGAAATTCGGAACGGGTTTCCGTTTTACATCGCTTCGATTAAACCGAACGGTTTGAAAGTTATAGAATTCCATAAATACACCGAACCTGAAATGAATGAGATAGACGAGGAAATGTTTGCGAGTGGTTTTGCCGGTCTGGCGACTAGAAACGGATCGACGGTGTCGGTGAGACCCCAACTGTTGCGATATGCCTTCCCCGACCGGAGGGTAAAGCGAATCGAGCTCACTTTTGACGGTAGAAAAATTGCGTCAGGCTTTGAATACAAATCTCCAAAAGTGTTGAACGAGCTTTATTACGAAGTTCATTCCGTGATACAGGGGGATGACAAAAAGTATGGCCGCGTTGAGTTTCGCAACGGTACAAAACGGATCTTCGACGGCGATGGTGTTTTACTCAAAACAATAAGCAAAGTAGAACAGAAGGAAAAGGTGGACAAGCGAGAAAGAAACTTGTTTTTCGATAAAACAGGCTTATTCGTCATATCGGACTTCACACCTTACGATTCGAAAAACGATGAAGTATATTATTACGGCTTTGAAAACTACGAGGAAAATAAAAAGTTTACTTTTAATAACAATGATGTTGTAAAAGGGTTCTCATTAACCGGAAAAAATTATCTTAAGGTAAAATCTAGTTTTCAAGGGACCTTTGTGCCGAAAGAACAAAACGGCATTTACAAGGTGTCCTGCTGGCTCAGGACTGCAAAGAGGTTGACGATCGGCGAAAAGACTGTGCTGGTGAAAGTGATTGTAGAGGAGGACGGAAAGGTTGTGTTAGGAGTCCTCGGTGAAATTTTGTTCAAAATGAGAGATTGGCTGTATGTCGAGGCAGTCGTCAATCTCTCGGATGCCAGGGAGATAACTAACGAACTAACTGGTTTCTCCGACAAGTTAAGTATAAGAGTAAATATATCGAATTGCGACCTCGATAATGTACTTTTCGCACCGAATGTGCTAAAGACGAGTATCAACGTGTTTGATGAGGAGGGCAACGTATCAGAGGTTATCGTAAACGGCCTGATCAAAAGGCAGATCTACAAGATGAACAAAAAAGTGGCTTCTATCGATGAATACGGAAAACTCGAATTATTTGTGTCAAGAGGGAAAAACTCGAATCTCGAAATTATACCTGCAAACGGCTATTATGAGAATTTCTCACTTTTCTCTTTTGGGACGAATCTCATCGCCGACGACGACAATTGGGCTGTCTCACCGGGCGTATTGCGTCACGAGGGTGAGGACAGCGTTTTGAAAATAACGTCAGAAAGTCACTGCCTGAGTTTCGATTATAGTTTAAAACAGAAAGCTGAAATAGTTATAGGAGATTTGATTATTAAAGAAAATTCCATAATGTTTAATGACGAAAGTAAAGACAGTTATGCAAAAGGAGAGATTATCTTAATAAGAATAAAAGATCGATGTTTCGTCTGGCTTGATGGATCCATAATTTTCGAAAAGACTGCTGTTTTCAACCTTGAAATGAAATTCAAAGGTGATGCGTACATCAAAAACCTCTTTGTTTTCGAAGACCCTTCTGTGAAAATGGAGTATTTCAATGGATTAAAAGACAAAGTGCAAGAAATACGACTTATAGACGAAAAAACGGCGTTAGTTCAAGAGTTTTTGTACGATGAATTAGGCAGGCAGGATATACAAACAAGGCCGATTCTTTTGAAGGGGAACGTCTTCGACTACCACCGAAATTTCGTGATGAATAAAAACCCAGACGCCGAGGATTCCGTTTGGAGAACTGGCCGAATAAAGGGCGAGGCTGGTGAATACAGTTACACGAGGTTAGAGTACGAGGAAAATCCTCTGAACCGCATCCTCACTGTTGACGTGGATCCCGGAGTGGACCAAGCCTTTGATTCGTTTTTTAAACGCTACAGATACAACGAGACCTATCCTTTATTGAGAAACGTCTTTCCCAAGGATTTCTACTTTGTAACAGAAGAAAAACGAGGGGGTGTTGAGAAAACTAAGGTCTACGATTCATCCGACAACTGGAGAGGAACGTATATTAAAGTCGCGAACGGAAGAGGACTTTTGAGTACTTTCGATTACAACGGTACAAACCTGGTTCGAATCCTACCTCCTCTTTACCACGATAAAGTAGGAACATTGAGAAAATTCGATAACAGAGAGACAGTAAGGGAAAAGATACTTAAAAAAATTATAGGAGTTAATTGTAAGTACGACGATAAGGATCGAATGGTTGAAATAACCACACCGGACAGTGGGAAAACGCAGTATATTTACGAAGGCGATTTCCTAAAATTTGTGATCTATGAGGACTCGGTCACGTTCTTTGAATACGAAGGTGAATGGCTCACCAAAACGGGGGTTTTGAAAAACAAAAATTTAAATTCTGAAAAAATTGTCTACCAGAGTTTTATACCCGGGGATGGCAAAAATCCAGCAATACGGGGTTCCGTTTTTAGGACGATAACCTATGACAAACTGACAGCAATTGAAGAAACCGTCGAGCACAATAAGATGCGTATGAAACGAATAATACTGCCCGATGGGCACACCATGGAATTGAAGAAAACGATTCACAACATCTACAAGGAAGAGGTCGAATACCCCGCTTTTGTGAATAACAAAAGGTTCAAAATCTTTTATAAATATAACAGATTGGGTAAGCTGACAAATGTTTACAGCAATGACGGCCTCGTAGATATAGTTTACAAATATAACGGTTTGAAACTCGCCCAAGAAAGTAAGGGCAAAAGCTTCCGACGGTCTTATATTTATGACGCGCCTGGCTTTCTCACGAAGATAACAGATGCCTTTTTAACGGAAGAGATATCTTTCAGCCTAGGCAGCTATGGAGGAATAAGCTTTGGAGACGGGACCATTGTAAGAACTACGTTTAAAGCACATTGGTATGATTTTTCACCGCCTGATAATACAGATTGCTTTAAGAGGTTGAAAGAAAGGAACTACTTGGACGGCAAAGGTCATCTGATCAAAGATTTCTATCCTTATTTAGAACCGGATATTGTTAATTGTACATCTCTCTACGAGAAACATTTCCCTTCCAGATACGGGCATGCGTACACCTATGGGAAATATCAACAATTAATCAAAGCAAAATTTTTCGTCGAAGAAGTACCACCGATCCTGCAGCCGGCAAGTTTCGCTCGGGTCCCCGGTCTCAACAGTACCGCTTCTAAAGCGATCTGGAAATCGCTTAAAGATTCCGGTTTCATAATCGCAGATAAGGAATTTTTGGATGAACATCTAGTCCATTCTAAAAAGGGAAGATCTATTATAAATCCTTTAATATTCAGAGAGCTCGAGAGAAACGATCTCGAGCGGTACAAACTTGTCGAGAACGTCTTGTTGGGATTTTTTAAAGACGAGTATCTGGAAAATATTCTCGGCAAGAAAACCGTGTCTATTCTCAATAAAAAAGGTTATATAAAGGATCCTTACAGCGAAGACTTCAAAGCAACTTTAAAAAATTACAAGGATCAACTCCGGCACATCACCGACATTTTAAGGCGATCCTTTGCGACTGAATTGGGCACAAGTCAGTACGACGTAGACCATTTTGAAATAGATCCGAACGGTAACCTTCTAAAATATTATAACGGTTTAAACAAATATGACTTGATTTACCGAGAGAATACTAATTTGATAGACTATATTAAAATAAACGAGGTAAAATACAATTTGAAACACGATAAGAGAGGCAATGTGATCAGGGCGGATCATAGGGATATTGAAAAGGTGGTTTACAACCAGGTGATAAATCGTGTGAATGAGATCCGTCTGAAATGCGGTAAAGTAATTCATTACAGCTACGACTCCTCAGGAGAGAGGATTTACAAAATGGTTCAACAAGACGGGAAAATAATAAAAGAAGTATTTTACGTGCGTGATGAGGCCGGGCGCACTGCTGTCGAAAAGGAGATTCGACACGAAGAAGAACCCGACGTTATGGTGACTCTTTACGTCTATGGCCCCACTGGGCTAACGGGCTTCGTACGCAGGAACAAGTTTTACAACGTTCTCACAGACCATGAAGGATCTGTGAGACTGGTCGTGAGGGACGGAGAAGTAGTCGCAGCCTACGATTATTTACCATACGGGGAATTGATGAGAAAAAAAATTTTAGACTCCGATGCCGATTTAGCTTACAGGTTTACCGGCCAGGAGTATGACGAAGAAACAGGTCTATACAATTATCATGCGCGTCTGTATGACCCGTCGTTAGGCCGATTTTATCAAATTGACCCAATGGGTCAGTACTTCTCTCCTTATTTGTATGCAGGGAATTCCCCGCTCACCCTAGTGGATCCTGACGGTGAATTCGTTTTTATTTCCATCTTGGTGGTAACAGGGATATCATCGCTAATTGCTTACAGCTATTGGAAAAATGGTTGGGATATGGAAGGTTGGAAGGAGACTCTCAAGGAAACTTGGAATAAAATTAATTACGGTTTAGAAGTGGTAAAAACTTTTGTCAAATTCGGAACCGCTGCCGTCATTTTGAAAGGCTTGGGAGTTCCGATAGCCATCGCCGGAATCGCCCTACTTGCCCTTGCAGGGCTTAGTACAATTCAAAAATTCAGGAAATCCAACTCTAAATTTGACCCAACCTCTTTAACAACATGGTGTTCGATTTTCGAGGCATTCGTAGAATCTATTTCGGAAATATCTGAGATTGTGTTAGACGTCGCCGAATTTATAGGAAAAATCAAGGATAAATACTTGAAAAAGAAAGCGACAAAAAAGAATAAAATTACACAGCGGGGTTCTAGCCTTGGAGACAATCCCGCAGACAAAAAGATCCCACCAACTTACAACAAAAGAGCAAAGAATATCATTAGGAATCAACAGTTAATGGGTCAAAGCAAAGCGAAAAAGTTATCCAGTAAAAGGCAAAAGAGGTCTACCGAGGAGGGAATTATCAACGTATCGTGTAATAATATAACATTAATAAGGATGAAGGATGTCGACAGCATCGTGTATTTAAGTGATGGCCATGAGAGTAATACAGATTTGAACATCTGGCTAGAGAAATGTTTGGCTACGTTAGATAAAGTTGTCTCAGAAAAGAATGCAGTTACGGTGAAGCAAATAAAAAACACTCTGAGCCATGTGATAATTGACAAAGCAAGGAATTTCGAATCGACCGATTTCAAAGGGTTTTTAATAGATGATGAAAATTACAGGGCTTACGTTGCAATGGCCGTTGAGATATTGCGGGCTATTCCAGACGACACCGAGACACTGAGGAATATAAAAGAGAATGCAGCGGTTTTTCTAAAAGAAATTTGGGATGATTACGATTTAACGGACGGTATCGGTAAGATTCGGAACCTCCAAGCGGATCCCATCCAATGGAAAATAGTCAGCGACGATAACTTGTTGGTAACTTCTTACAAGGAGCCGTGCACCGACGTCAAGTGTCCAATGGCGAGTACTGACTGGATCTGCGAGGACGAGACGCCAGCGTGGGACCCCAGCTTTCCGGAATTGAACTCGACGCTGCTTCTGACGGACGTCCTTCTTGCAAAAAAGGGCAAAAGGCGTCTGCAAAGGGCAAAAAGGCAGACTGGCATGAAATGGAGCGAAACGATGGCTTATACACTGAGCATAATCGACGCTTTTGAAAATTTCCTCAATGAAATCAGTGGAGAAGAAACCAGCCTATACCAAATGACAGGGAAAATACGGAATAAAATATCTAATAGCCGTTTTGACGAGATAACACCTTTGCTGGACGATTACGTCAAAAACTCCTCAATTGATTTTCATGTTTATCAAAGGGAAAAGTTTAATCTCGAACAACGAATTCATGAAATCCTCTTCCAGAATGAAATAAACGTCCTCAATGATACGAGAATCCTTACTGATCATGCTAATAGTACTGCTATTCTCTCAAAAAGCATGGCTAATAATAACCCGACCATTAGGCTCCTTTCTCACGAGAGAAATTAACAATTCAATACATATAAAATATCAATTGTACAGGAAAATAACGACGTTTTTTCCAACCTTTCTTATCATTTCGGCATAAAATCAATGTTTTAATCGTAAATAATAATAATTTATGAAACTTTGTCAAAATTGTAAGCTTCAAACAATTCATCCATCTAATACGATGAAATTTGACAATATAGAAAACTTGGGGTTTATTGTTATTTGTAATTGGTTAAATTGTGTTGTAATAAATAAATTTTATGTCAGCATCATGTTTTTTCATTTTTTCCCCATTTTGATACATAAGTAATTTGCGCCTATTGTTTTATTTTAATCTGCATTTAAAACTGCATGCAAAGTAATATATAAAAAAGTAGTATAAAAAGGGAAAGGCAAGACAACACCCAACTAAGGACCGGGACAAAAAGATAGCCCGCCAAAATTTCTCCCTGTTAAAAAAAAAAAAATAACCGTAGATAATTTTTTTTCCATTCATAGCTTATTTTGCTAAAGTTTGAACATATTAATATCCATTAGGTGTAAATAGAAAATAATTTCAGTGAATCAATAACAATAATACTCAATTTGGGCTGGGACAAAAAGATAGCACAGTTAATAATAATAAACAATAATTAAATTCTTTATTCGTAGATCGTGAGATGCGGTCTGGTGTGATGTAGGTTTTAGAAAAACATTTTCTTTATCGTGCCAACGTTTCGATTTTTATTGAGATCATCTTCAGGGCCTGGGATTTATAAACATTGTTTAAATTTTACAAATACACGTAGGATGTGAAAAAAATAATTTATACAATGCTAGAAATTTTAGATTAAAAAAATGAATTTATACAGTGCTAGAAAATTTTTAGATTAAAAAAAGTGAATTTATACAGCAGACAGGGCGGCCAAAGAAGCAGCCAGCGGACCCCACGACGCTTCCCAACAAATACGCCCAGCGGATCTCANCGTAATTATATATATATATATATATACATATTTACACAATACATCATACGTCGTTAAGTTTAAAATATTAAATTTGCCAAAATTTATTTGGCAATATTCTTTCATATTTTAAAAAGGTTTTTGTAAATAATTTCATCCTTTATGACATTTATGCACTTATGTGTGGACAGTTCTCTTGCTGTGAATGGCAACATATTGAAAATTCCTATGGCAAACAAATCTTTGCAATTAATTTTTGTTTTAAACTAAGTTTATTGCCCTCTAGTATTAACTGACGTGACATCACAGACCCTTTTGTATAAATTTTCTCTTAAATATTTAATGTTTATATAAACGAACAAACCAGGTATAATCACCGCATTGAATTTACAAAATAGAGGCTTACAGTGTTCTCTGCAGCTGGTATTACACGTTAATCGCAAAGCCTTTTTTTGTAATTTTAAAATTTTCACAGCATAGCTTTATCAACCTCAGAATTGTAATGTCACAGATGGTGGCAACCCTGGGGAATGCCCATATAGAGCATTCTCAAGATGTTACTTACACATACATAATTTACTTGACTCCTCAAATTGTAAATTACAAATTTTATCCTTATTTCATCAATATGACTATGCCAACTTAAATTATTGTCAAGGGTTCGCAACAGGAGAGGTCGTATAAACCCTCAGGGTGCCGGTGTTTTTGAAATAGAAAACCATTTGAAGTATGTCGGGTTTATGCAGGGCCGCTGGATTCGAACCCGGGACCTTCACCTTACAGTCATGAGCGCCGTGCCAACGTTTAAACCGTTGCGGCCGCCGACGCCCCCAATTGTCAAGTTTGAACACTAAGAATTTAACATGATTTTCAAATCCCGACAGAGAAAAACCACATAAAGTAATTTTTTTCAACATTTAAAATCAAGAAATTGGAAGTATATAAACATATACACAGGTTAAAATATTCATAAAGCTTATCTTATCACAGATAGATGTGAAACTCATATTATCAGCAAGTTGCAACGGCTTAATATTAACGTAAACAATAATTACAAAGCTGATTAAATAATTTACATATATGTTAAAACAAAGTGATCCTAGGATTGAACCCTGAGATACGCCACGTATCACATCTGACTAGAAATTATATTGTTAACTTTTACAATTTGTTATCTATTTACAAGGAATCTTTTATAAAATTCAATAGGAGTAACACCATAATGCTGAAGCTTCTCTAAGAACAAGTCGTGATTTATTGTGTCAAAAGCTCAGGTCAGATCGCCTAGCATCGTATAATTTGCTTTATTGTTTTCTTTATTTTCATAAATATATTGTAGCCAAGAGTTCAACAAATCAGTGGTTCCCAGACCCCGTCTAAAACCAAATTGGCAAGAAGAAAGGATTTATCTATGAAGTTGTTTTATCTTGTTTTAAAAGCTGTTTCAATAAATTTTAAAATACTGAAAATATATTGAAAATATTACTCTTTCTCTCACTCGTACTATCTTTCTCAATGTCGAATTCCCTCTCTTTACATAATTCTTGACTTTTTCTTAAGTCTTGAATTTTTATTTTTATATCTTCCATTTCCCCCCTATCCTCTCCCTTTCAAGTCACATATCTCTTTCACGCAACGATCACCAGTACACTTTTATATAGTATTTTTACAAAACTATTGACATATCGGCCAGTTTAATAATAAATCCAACCAATTCACATAAATTCAAAAACCTTATTAATACAATTTGAATTAATACTACGAGTCCGGACACGAAACCTGCCCCGTCCTTGATACATGACCTCAATGGGATTCAAATTTTGTTTACGATCTGTATAATAAACCTTTATTTATAACAGGTTGTAATTACATACAATTCATATTTGTTAGTAAGATAGGAATAAAATCCTTTCTGCGAAAGGTAGGGTAATGAAGCATGTGATTTTCATAAGAGGGGCAACCTTTTAAATTAATACAGTAAAACAAAGTTAATAAAACATTAAAGAAGTGTGACCTAAGTCGAAGAATTATTAAAATCAAAATAAACGTGTACCGCAAACGGCTTTAAGCAAACAAGACAAAATTGAACAGGTGGTAACCAAAAAGGCAGACTGGAAAAGATTGCTGAACATGGTTCAAGCACCAAATAATTGAATACAACTTAAGATACAGGCTAGAGACGGGCAAAGTCGTTCCTTTTGAGCAAATGTTTCTTTTGGGACAGTTCTTTTTATTGAACTAGTTCAGTGAACTAGTTAAAAATGAACTACTATCAACGGACGTGAGTACTGTCAACAATTAACTGAAGTATTGAACTGTAGAGCTCCTACAGGTTATTTAGATACAGTCGCTCGGAGAAGTACTATTTCCATAAGTCCGAAAAGGAACTGAACTGCTGTGCTGAACTAACATACTAAGTACAGCCGATGAAATAAAAGACAAAATCGAACTGCGAACAGGGTGAACTGTACTGTAGTGCATCGGTATGTCGGTCCGAAAGTCCAAAGTTGTGAATTCGAGCTTCCGCATGACCACGAGTCACTGGTCAGTACAGTTCATTTGAACTAGGTCGTTCATGAACTACAGGCCTAACACCCCAATTGAAATAGAACAAACAGCAAAAGTGGTCACACATAAAAAAAAGATAAATCGCAAAATTGTTGGGAATCCTTGGTGAAAAAATCCGGCTCTCCTCAAAACAAACAACTCTACTTAGCTTAACAATTCTTCAACTAAACTATCCTGTCCCTAACCCCAATTCTAATTAATTTAATTATCCCTAATCTAACACGACCCTACCTAACCTAACGTTAGGTAATCCCTAACCCTAACCCTCGCTAACTTAATCATTTCTAACCTAAACTATCCCTAACACCAACCTTAACTGACTTAACTATTTCAATCTACCATAACCATCACTAATGACTAGGAGGGAAAAAAAGAAAAAAAATCTAACATAACCATCACTAATGACTTTGGGGGAAAAGACGAACAGGTGGTAAACTAAAAAGCCTACTGAAAAAGCTACCGTACATTGCTCGACGACAAAATGATTGATAGGATGTCCCGAACACCAACCCTAACTAATTAAATCATTCCTAATCTAACCCGACCCTACCTAACGTGTCCCTAACCCTAACCCTAACTAACTCAATCATTTCTAACCTAAACTATCCCTAACACCAACCCTACCTAAGAGAACATTCTTAACCTAACCTAAACTGTCCCTAACCCCAACCATAATTGACTCAACTATTCAAATCTAACATAACTATCCCTAATGACTTGAGGAGAAAAAAACGAACAGTTGGTAAACTAAAATGCCTACTGAAAAAACTACCGTGCATTGCTCGAGGACAAAATGATTGACTACGCCCTAGCATGTCAGCATATGAACACTCCAATTGAAACAGAACAAGCAGCAAAAGTGGTCACATATAAAAAAAGAAGATAGAAATCGCAAAATTATTGGGAATCCATGACGTAAAAATCAGGCTCTCCTCAAAACCAACAACCCTGCTTAACAATTCTTCAACTAAACTAGGATAGTTTTATTAGTTGGAGCTCCCTAATGATTTGGAGAAAAAACAAAAATGAACAGGTGGTAAACTAAAAAAACCTACTGAAAAAGCAACCGTACATTGCTCGAGGACAAAATGATGACCCTACCTAACCTTACGTATCCCCAACCATAACCCTCACTAACCTAAGCTATCCCCAACACCTACCCTACCTAACTTAACGATTCCTAACCTAACCTAAACTGTCCCTAACCTCAACCCTAACAGACTTAACGATTCTAATCTAACATAAACTGGGAGAGTTTTATTAGTTGGTGCACCCTAATGACTTTGGGGGAAAAGACGAACAGGTGGTAAACTAAAAAGCCTACTGAAAAAGCTACCGTACATTGCTCGAGGACAAAATGATTGATAGGATGTCCCTAACCCAAACCCTAACTAATTGAATTATTCCTAATCTAACACGACCTTACCTAACCATAACCCTCACTAATTAATCATTCTTAACCTAAACTATCCCTAACACTACCCTACCTAACTTAACGAATCCTAACCTAACCTAAACTGTCCCTAACCTCAACCCTAACTGACTTAACGATTCTAATCTAACATAGATAGGACATCTAACATAAACGAGGATAGTTTTATTAGTTATGCATTCTGTCTATTTATTTATTTATTCATGACATTAGCTCAAACAGGGACAAGACCCCAAAATAGGACAGTCAAATATATAATTATTTACGGCATGGACAACAGTCCGTCAGCCGGAGTTGATGTGAGCAAACACAGAATAATAATAAT